GAATAAATATTTCTCCTCCATTAGGCCAAATATTTTCATTTGTCATCCTAATAGCTAGGGGTAAAAGACCTGAACAGATTTTTTTCCTATATGGACTCAAATATATTTGAGTGGTTCAGTGTTTTATGGGAGCTGATTATTACTCCATACGCAGCACTGCTGAGGTTACGTCTGGAGTACTGCACCACGCTTTGGTCGTTACACTTCAAAAACTGGACAGGTTTCTAAGGAAAGCAACCAGAAGGTGGAAAACAGGACCTCTGCGGAAGGACTGAGAGAAGTGGCCTTGCTCAGTTTAAAAAAGAAAATTAAAAAACATTATTGACAAATCTTCTTGTTTGTAAAAGACTATAATAAAGATGGGTGCACACTGGCGTTGGTACTAGTAGTAACTGACCAAACATGAGACTGAAGAAATTTATGGAAAAGAATTCCTTCGGGACCTGTTAAGTGACAGCCACCACCACTGACTCAAGAAGTCCCTGAGCCACAAATTGTTGGGGAGTAGCCTGGGGAAACATCGCTACACCATCTTCCTTTTCTCCTACTCTTCCCTACTACTAATAGCAACTGCTATTAGCCCCTGTCACAGACAAGCACAGAGTAGCCTGACCCTTTACGCTCACCAAGTGCCTTTCTCACACTCTGCCTGCTTTTCTCCATGAGACAGTACGACACCTTGTTAATTCTGAAGAGTAATTAGCCCTGGGAACAAGCCACTTGCAGAGCAACAGCAGCCTGTCACTAAACACTTTAAAGAACAAGGGCAGTTTAGCATACTTGACCCCTTGTTTCTGTTAAAAAAAAAAAAAAGGAAAAGAAAAAAAAGGGATAGACGACAAGATTACAAAGTTCAATGTGGGCCAACAACTCTACACCGTCCACCATTTAGATGGCTTTTTACTACCAAAGAAATTAATAAGACAGTTGCAAATTCTGCCCCTTCAGATACACAAAAAATTTCCGATACTGTAAACAGTCGGGTCACACACGGACAGGCGTGCTCAGGCCAAAGTCTGAAACCTCGGTAAAACTGGCTACTCTACCGGACTCCATCTTCTATTCAGAAAAGTGAGTGAAAGATTCAGCGATGTCTAGTAATCCTGTCGGGAGTAAAACCATCTCATTACTGCCACCGATAGCAGAAACCTTCCCATTTGCGAATCTTGCTTATAGTTGACACAGGCACAGTTGACTCCACTTGAAAGATGCTCGATTATCTGTAATTCTCCAAATTTGCTTCCCTTTCACCACTGTTTCCTTTCTGTTACGAAGACATACACTTAAAAAAAAAAAAGGAACAAGTAATCTTCTTGTCACAGATCTTTGCCCCCATTTAAGCCTTTACCAAGATCATTAGCTGTACAGTTAAGTGACAGAAAAGACGTAGTGCTAGATTGCAATCCAAGCTAAGAAGCAAATATCACCTTCGGAGTGCCTTCGGTAGGACAGGAGGAGAAGAAGTTATTTAACCCTATATAATTACTTGCTTCTTTACAACTTCACAGAGCTGCTAATTGGAAATGGAATAGGGAAAATGCATTTATTGTTAGCTCTGCTTTTCGCAAAGAATTTTGGCTGCTGATATCCTTTGGCATAACCCGTTATTTAGTATGGATTTCCTGATTAACATGTTTCAAAAAGTTACAAAACTCTAAGTAAATGTTCTGGTTTCACAAAAATCCCTATCTAGAGTAATGAGCCAAAGAACACAGAACAGCACTCGGACCTCGACACGCTCAATATATTAACACAACTCTTCAGGGCTAACGCACACTTCAGTGTGTTCACATATATTATTTTAAATGCAACAATAAATCAGGATTGCCAAGAAATCTGTGAGGTTCTTGAAGGAATCCACAGCATGTATGCACAGAGTCCTTTAAAATGACATAATTACGAGGAAATCTGGATTAGAACAGACTATTTATATGTAGATGGAACCTGGTTATCAAATCAAGGGGAGCCATGCTTTGTGTGCTGTACAGTTAGCCACATTTTTCTGCAGGGAAAATAGTAAATAAATCAAAATGAATGACCTCATGGTGGTTGCATATAGATGTGATGAGAGGCAGAGACAGCAAGTGAGCCCAGGTGTTCGTACATGTAGCTCCTAAGCCTGCATTAAGACAGACCATGGAAATCAGTTAAATTGCTTGTAGAAAATCTATGTGTTCAAAGTGGGATCAGAACTTGCTCCAAAAAGTCATCCTTTGATCATACCCATGTCTAATGTCAAGGCTTTAATTTCACACTGCACCATCTTTGCCAATCGTGTAAACGTGAGCGATCCTGACTCTCGGGCCAGCAACACATGATGTGCCGATAGAGCTCTTTGGAGGTAAATGCTGTAAACTGCATCACTGCAACGAGAACGGTGAAAAGTAACCCCTAAAAAGGGTGGATTTTTGACCCAAGTGGACTCATGAGCTGGTTTATAACACAGCTGCAAAGACCTGTGTTGACGTGGCTGATGGGTGAAAATGAATAACTACTGATGGGTGGGCTTTCTTAGGCCAGTTTCATCACCAAGACCAGCATATTACAAAATTAGGTCCCAAGCAAGCCACCACAGTAGATTCTCCAGGTCTTTTGCCAAGGACTGCAGCGAAGGAATAAAGAGCTAGTGACTTTTATAATTGTGAGATCTGAAACCTATTTTAGTTGCAATGCAAAGCACTCAGGCTACTATGGACTACATCCAAAACTGCGAGGACAGTGAGAATTTGTATCCTAAATCTGATCATTTTTCCAGGTTGGTATCATAGCCATACAGATTGTAAACTAAGATTTGGATCCCATGGGAAAAGTTCAGGAGTATCATTTCTGGGATACACAACATCAGATCATGAGATGCTGGTGGATGAATTCAAGGAAAAATGGAACAAACATACATTTAGGCAGTCAGAGCAATTAGCTAGGAACAAAAGATATCTGGGCACTTTGTGAACTCAAGAATCTCAAGTCAAGGATGAGGAAGACTTCTTTTTCAGAAGCACGGACAATGCTTCAAACACAATTTATCCAAAGCAGCTGTTCTAGACTTGATTAAAAAAATTGCTTACCACAGAGAAAATAAAACAGTGTTTCATCATCTTAGCCTAACCTTTACAGGTTACAGAAGAATATACTCTACCACTAAGAGGAGGCTTAGCTTCCGAATACGCTATGAGAAGCACCTTTTTTTTTTTTCTTTTACAAGTTCCCCAAGACATCATCCATTCAGCTTCCAGTCACTTACACAAAACGAAGGGCACAGAACACAGTGTTACTGGTTAATGAAGAAAGGCAAAACGTTCTCTTCCCAAAATCTGCGTGTGAGGGAGAAGACAGGCATTATATTGTGAAAGAACAGTGTAAGTCACATACGCCCTTCTCTATCAATTGATAGAGAACCTCTTCACGGTCTATGAAAAAATCCACATATTGAACAGCGTTCATACAAAATCACTCAGAGAAGGGAGGGAGGTTGAAAGCAAGCACTTGTTTTCTGGCATACGGTCAAGAGTTCCACCCTAACCTGCTGACCTTCGTTAGCTTCCTTCACTTCCCACCACAGCATCCTAGGAAAGAGATCGCTCCGAACCACTTGCATCTAAAACCCCCTTTACTCTCTAGAATAAACACCCCAAGTAACTGGTGAGGTGTTTTGGGACTGGAAACATATCCAATTAGGGTATTCCATACAAAGAGAGGCTCTCTCACCATTAGAGACATGAGGCGTTTGCATCATTTTGCGTCAGCGGGCAAAAGGAAGAGAAGGCAGTGAAACCATTAACCAGCTCCTCTGTGAGGTGACCATCGGTTTGCTGCTCCTCCTACCACCACCACAGAGAAAAAACCAACCCACGTAACCTCACACCAAACATCCAGACTTCAGTGCCAACTACGTTACAAGATACACCTTAGAAAATACACAATTCTTGTTCTCTCAGGGATTCTTAATCACACAGGTTATAGTTGTGATCTACGGAAAAATGAAAGAACATCAGAGAAAAGCAAGTATGCTGTTTAAACAAAATACTGTCTGTTGTTAAGCACTCAGATAATTTTGCTTTAAGAAAATTACTTCAGGACGTAAACAAAAATGTACAATCAATCATTGTATCAAACCAAACAATTATATTAAGGTTCAATTTACAAAAGGTTAACAAATAATTAATAGCTGTTTTAATAAATAGGTATTTACGTCTCATGTCTTATCAATCCAACAGATAACTTATAGCTGTCGATAGTACTTTCTACTGATGTGCTTATAACCCGCCCTAACATATACTACACGTTTCTCTAACATGGACTACAACATCTAGAAATCATTTATTAACCCTTCATAAAATTCTAAATAAACCTTAATATGAAGCGTGACTAACTTTATACTATTTCAGCCCCATACCCCAGGACACATCGACTACTAGCTCTTTCAAGTTTTTATTTAAAATTCTACATTTTAGTTGGGAGTCACATCGCTAGCCACGGACTCACAGATGCCTACGGTGGCTTGGCCAACACACTGCAGGCACAAGAAGTGAAATGAAAGTGGTGGGGGAAGATCACAGGGAACAGTTCAGGTTCTTCCAAAAGAAATGTCCTGGCTTTTTTGTTGGAACAAACATTGATACCGTGACAACAGAATCAGAGAGCAAAAAAGCAAAGTCTGTTGTAATTCAAGACATTGGTTTTCCTTCTTTTTAGAAACAAAACCCCCACAATACATTATAATATAAATAAATAAAACAGAAAACACAAAGGTAAATTCCCAAACCCACCACTAGGATCTTAAAAAGGGAACAGCCAACTATTTCTTGGATGCAGCCTAAACTTCTCTTACCTGCAAATTTTCAATATATTTATAAGTCCTATTTAGTGTATCAGACTTAGGGAACAAGATGTATTCTGTTTAGGTCTCCTTTTTTTCCATCCAGTATTTTCATCGTCAAACCCCCACCTTAGTTTTTTCCATCAAATTGCCTGCTGTTGGTTTCACAAAGTTCAGCTCAGACTTATACTTTTCCTTCACTTTCAGAGCCTCTATCTTCATTCTCACAGTCCTCCACAAGGTCTTCACGCTCCTGTGTCTTCTCTTCCCCCTCCTCCTCTTCCTCCTCATCTCCAAAAGTCTCTTCTTGCATTGTAGTGAAAGCAAAAGACCTGGCAGCAACTTGTGCAGCCAGACCAGATGTGAAGTTTAAATCTGTTGATATGTGGAGCTGGGCCAGCCTATGCTTGATTTTTGAATCTAAAGCATCCTTAGAGGGAGACTGTGAAACCTCTACTCCATCCGCATGGCTCGGCTTGAGTTCTTCAACTTCCCCTTCACGCTGACAACACATTCTTTCTTCAGCCCCTGTAGAAATACCTTCATCAGCAGTATCGTCTTTGCTTTTCTCCATCTCGTCCTCTTCATACAAATATTCTGTCCTGCTTTTATCAGCAGCATTCGCTTTTGGATTAGAGTCTTTTTCTTCAGATTTATCACAACTTTGGCTGCAGTCCTGCTTTTCTGTATCTGAATTCACATGTGATTCCACATTATTTAGTAGCTTCAGTGGTTCTACAGGAGACAAGGGTTTCACTGCAGCTTAAAAAGGGGGAAAAAAATTAAATGATAACTAAAAGCAAGCTGCTATATTTAAATGTCTGAAAAGATGCAAGATTGCAAGGGTCAAAATGGCTTAAAAAAAACCAAACCCAAAACAACAGAAACAAAAAACACAATCAAACAAAACTTAAAAAGAAACCAGTGTTTTCTAATCACAAAGCTGAAGTGAAATGTGACAGCTACTTGTTGTAACTACTCCTCAAAATCTGTGACGTAAAGAGACAGCACAAAATTGATGATGTTGAAAACCGGCATCAAACACAGATGATGCATTCAACGTTAAAGTAAAAAACAAGTAAAACTACTGCACTGTATACAGATTTCAACTGTCTTCGTTTTAAACAACAGTTTACCTAATCCAGTAAAGACAGCTGGTACATGACAAAGTCCTTATAGGCAATATCTGATCTCATACACCACAACATACAAATACAACACGTGTTCATACAGTCAGGTAAGGTGTCCTCACAAATAAAGTGTGGTTTAATTTAGCCTCTCTTGAAGTTAGTAGCAGCAGCGAGTCCCATTGCCAGCAACGGGATGCTTGCCAGGAAGTCTCTCCTCCCAGTGTTAAGGGTTAGTATAACTCGGTACAATCACTTCTTGAAGAACAGACGTCTTTCTTTTTAAGAAAACGATATAATGTCCATCTCCAAGTAACAGATTCCCTAAAGTGCAGTAGCTCCATTAGAGTAGCAGCACGAACATAAATGAGAGCGGCAACAGCAGATTCCCGAGTAGCATTTCCCTTTCTAATTCCATTCTGACTTTACCCCTGTAAGCAGAGATGAAAATAACTCTGGGAAACACACAAACTTTTTACGGGAAACAAAATTAACGGTATTAGGATTTTTCCATTGCATCCTATTTCAGTAATATTTACTTTAGCTAGCTGAAGGCAGGCCCATCATTATGGTTGTCACATTGATAATTATTGTCGTTAGCAGTCTGAAAGACTGTGGCTTTGAATTTGTACTGTATTGTTTGTTTTAAAACCTTATATACCAAAGGAGGGCTGCACCAGACTCATCTCAGTTGTTAGCAGCATAGTTCCTTCCCCCTCTTGTAAAAAACACGCTCCTGCTTATTTCTGCCTGTTTGCTTGAAGAGGCAGGAATATGCACAGTAATCTTATCACTTGGGAGCAAACTTGTTGCCTGCTTCCTCCACAGAATACTTCCAAAGCCAAAATTTCCCCCAAAATAAACAGATACTTCAGCTGGCCAATTTGCTGAGTCCATTAGTTAATAAGCAAGGTGGAATTCATCAATTCTGCGTGTAGCTTTCCGAATCTGAGAAACAGCTGTGTAAGAACTGTTGTATGGACAAGGTGGGAGAAGGGGAAACAGCTGGGTACGACGCAACCACTGACAGAATGAACTTTTTTGGGGGAAGAGAGGTTAGGGGAAAGGCTAGAAGTGATTTTGCACCAGAAAAAAGTTGGTTTACAGTGTTTGACAAATGAAAACGAAGCCAACAACTTCAAAGACCTCTTCAAAAAGCACTTCCAATTTACTGGCACAACAGGATGGCCAAGGACCAAAACCAGAAGCTCACCTACGCTCCCAGAAATTCCCTGCTGCCCAGACTGTAAGCGGTATTACCACGGTGCTGGGCCTGGGCAAATTTGCATTTAGTCTTGTGCTCTGCTAAGATGATGTTTTTCTTCTGGAATCCAACCTAGCATCTCCAGTTGGACTTCATGCTGTGTTCTTTAGACATCTCAACTTGTTTGGAGCTGACCTGTTGTATAGGGAAACCCTCACCAGTCCCTCCTTCCATGAACCAAAAACCCTAGCAAAGCAGAATGGCTTGCTGGATGCTTTAACTAACAGATTAAAGCCTTTGAATATTTCAGAATCTTTTTTTGACAATGATCACAAGTTAGGAGAACGCAGGATTTCTGGAATATGATCGTCCTGTAAAAGGAAGATTTAAGAGGGCTATGGAAAACCGTGATATCATGGCCATCCATTGGCTTGGGCCAATGGAGACAAGAACATGAACCTTTCCGGGTTTAAATCTTCAAGATAAAGCAAGCCACAAATGTGGAAAGCACAGCTCACAAAAATGTTTCTGTAAGAAATGACTCGTGTGTATGGATAAATTTAAGTCCGCAGCAGTAATATGCCACGGTCCATTGTCTCATATTTAACTGACTTGTGTTTCTTTTGAAGAAATAATGAAGAAATTCCTTAAAAACCAGTCGAAGATGTTATATCTGCTGCCCATATCAGTCTTTCAGATTAGACACACACAGTCTCTGAGCCAAAAGGAGACAATATTAATTACTTTCATGAACTGCCCTCCTGTTTTTCAGTTTTGTACAGGATGGAAGTAATCAATGATTAGTCCTAGTTAGCTGGAGGAAATCACACTTTCCTCCCTCCCCACTATTGAATCTCTAATCCTAAACCAATGGAATATCTATATATGGAAGGAAAGGAACCAACACGAGCCGGAAAGGCTTTCCGAAGACTTTCCTGAAGACTACAGGAGTCAGTTGACTCTTTCCAGCTATGGCTATGACGATACACTGATGTGGACAGGTATCGGCTGCTCACCTAGAAAAGGAAATACCCTATGCAAGCTCTCCTGACAAGAATTCTTTCTGCAGCAGTCACTAGATCTGTCAAGACTTCAACCGGAGGTAGGATTCCTTCCTTCTCCCTTCAACAGGGAGGAAAGAAAGACTTGAAGGCATTTATGTGAAGAGTTGTGTGGTGTCACATCTAACCTCAGAAGGATAATACAGAAATCCTACTCTTGAGCAGACTCTGATGCAATCTGACGTCTTAGGGTTTTTGAACTCAGCTAGAAGAAAAGTCAATACCAATGGCCAAGTAATTTGTTTTACCGTAGCTGTAGATAAATGGACATAAAGAAAAAATTTGTGAAGAACAGGTGTTTTTGTGGGTTTGATGTCAAAAGAAAAAGTCTCATAAATAGGTATGGTCTGTTACTGTGTGTTCCCACTAAATTATTGAAAGATGCAATCCATGGTCTTTTTTTTTTCTGGTAGATGCCGGCAGAGGGAGAACCCTTGGATATGTTGCCAGACTTGAGGGTTGTTTTTCCTAACATAGAACACGAAATTTTTTAGAGGCCTCTTCCTAGTCTGTCTTTAAGAGGAAGGAATGAAAATGGGAAAAAGAAGGGAAAAAGGAAAAGACAAACTACTCCCAATTTTAAAGATAATAAATCAAACATCTGAAGCAGTAAAAAGAATCAAGTTGTATCCAGCCTTACTGCTGGAACAGACTGTCTTGTTGAAGCAAGAGAAATTTTCATATTCCTGCCTTCAAGTGCAAGTGGATGGAGCTACCTACCCAGCAGTCCTCAGAGTCAGTAAAGGTTAATTTGGAAGAACTCTTCTTGTTAGGTTGGTTTTTTGGGTGGTGGTTTTTTTTTTAAGACATATTCTGTATACTCACTCTCTCATGGAAACAAATATGAGCCTGTAATACTTGAAAAGTCTAGCTCTTCACTTTAATCTATATATTTTTGTAAGTCTGGGATAATTTCTGATGGCTTCTTTAAATTCTGAAAAGTAATTTATTTATGCACCCTGATTGAAATTTATATTTACTGGAAAGCCATGAAAGAAAGTCAGTTCAGTTTGCATGGATCATAGCCTGACATTTCTCTTTACGCTGTCTTAATATTTTGTGTGTTTAATATTTTAGCTCAATATTTTGTTTAGAGCCAAATTCCCATTTCTCTGAGTTCCTTTCAATATATAGTAAAATGATTGCTACAACTAATATGAAGAGATGGAATAGCAAACTCAGGCCACACAGCTCTGTCAAAGACACTACTATAGCTGTCTGAATTCTAACATAGTCAGAAGTTGATGGCAGACACCTACCCTTTCTTAGAAAGGAATTAATTTTCAAAAGCAATGCTTACCATGGTCACTGAACAGCAGCTGTTTCCATTTCTGTCTTTCTATTTCTGAAGCTTTAAATCCCAGTACAGACTTCAATTCTTGTAACACTCTCTTAGATTCCTCTCTCTCTCGTTCTTGTCTCTCTCTTTCTTCCTGGGAAAAGTAGTAAAAATCTTCCCTTTTGCATTCATTCTCCATATCTGAATAATCAACATATGCTTCCAATTCCTAAAGAAAGAAAGAAAAAAAACCCCAAATGTTGATTTTCACTGTTAGTGTAGACCCTGTCCTACAATCTGACGCATGATTGAGTGATCTCAACACAAGCCAACCACAGCAATAGGACGGAGCCCTGTTTCAGCAGAGGCAGTGCATCTGACACTGCGCTCAGTTATAGTTGTATAATTTTGGAGCAAACCCACTCACTGAAAGTTAACATTACCGCAGTCACCTAAGATTTACTTTCATAAACAAGTATGATTCTATGATACACCTTGAAAATGAGAGTCCATTTCCCCATAATTACAGGTGGAAATGAGCAATGCCAATGCTTATATGCAAGTAGGACTCTCTTTCACATACTGCCTCTTTGAAATTCACATTTTTTTCTCTAAGTTGTGTTGCCGCTCTCCTTTTGTCACTTATTTCTAATGATATATATGAGAAGAAGTGAATGCTAGCGCTCTTTTTTCCAGGATGGGGAATACCTCCCCATGGAACAGCAACAGGAATATACATCGCTTTTTTCTATAAGTCCAGTTATGACACGGCACTGCCTACCTACTTGATCTGTCTTGGCAAGACAAGAAGGTCACTGCACAAGCAACCGACAAAGGAATGGATACAGCAAACAAGCCCCAATTATTATTTTTAATGGTCCTATTTTCTTTTACCTGCTCTTCAGGGACTGGATCTTTGTTTTCTATGTATATGGTAGGCTGTGTTAAAGGTACTGTAGTACGCTGTATGTTGTCACAGGAAACTTCAAGTTTTCCTTTAGGGGGAAAGAAGAAAAGGGATTAAAAAAGAGAAGAAGATTGAGTGTGAATGATGGTTTTGACTCACTCAGGCAGGGTCCAGGCATTTTCATTAGGCAGGACTGGCACATGAAAAAAAATGGTGAGAAGCCTGGTTAGAATACATTGAAACACTATGTTAGAGAGCACTTAAATAACTGACCTATTTTGATATAAGCTGGGTCTGATGAAACTCATCTTGAAATACTTCAACTAACAAATCTCAAAATTTTTATAGACTTCGAAAACCTGCAGATGGCAAGAAAAAGCAGTAAAACCACAAAAGAGACTTGGTGCCCAAGTTTAAAAAGAGAAGTAAAATAGTAAAATTATAGGCAAATCAGCTTCAAATCATGGGAAAATATTGGAAGAAATAATCAAACAAAATTTACAGGAAGCCATTTGGAAGGTAGCAAGGAGGTAAGTGACAGCCAGCGTGGGTGTGTTGAGAATAGAAGATGTCAAATCACTCCAATTTCATTTTCCAATGCAGTAACAGGAGTTTTGAATAGAAAGAAGGCAAAGATGTTCTGCATTTTGTTTTCAGCATGGCTTTTGACGTGGTGTCATGACATACTCATAAGCAAAACGCAGAGGCCAGGAGAAGTTGCTATTAGGTGCACAGAACAGTCTCTCGGATAATCAGAGTGCAGTTACCATTTTCAGACAGGAACAATATATTGAGTGAGGATTTGTCTCGAGTCCAATACTCTTTCATATTTCCAATGGGTGAAAGAAAAGTGTTTTAGCTCATTAAATCTCCTGATATTGGGATAACCTGCAAGGATACTGAAGGGCACAATGAGAATTGAAAATACTACTGGATACAGCCCGGGAAGAACTGGATTTTGGATACAGCGGTTTGGTAATAGTGGCTGCAAATTTTTGTGCTTTGGAATAGCCAAATGCACAAATACACGACAACTGGCTAAGCAGCACCACTGAGAAAAAGCTGTGAGAGCTTAGGAGTCAGCTATACCCTGCTGCAAGCAAAAAAGCCAAACTACATACTAGTGCATATAAACAGCAGCACTGACTGTTGGGACACGTGAAATTACATTTCTGCTCTGGCGCTGATCAGGCTGTGGATGGAACAGAGTGCTCAGTCTGGGGCTCCTTCATTCAGTAATACAGAGGGAGTCCGGAGGGAAACAGTGGAAATGATCAGAGGACTAAATAAAATATAGTTGTCAGGGAAGAGTTGGGATACAGAGTCACGTAGAGAAGAGAGAAAGAAAGATATTAACTGTCTTCAACAATGTAAAGGCTATAAAGAGGAAATGGATTGCCGCTGTGGGTGCATCAAAAGTACCGCTTTGAAATTGCAGCAAGAGATATTTGTATTCAGTAATAACTTTCTACTGGTAATGGAGATAGGTGCTAGAATAGATGCCTGCAAATACTGTAAAATGTCTGTAAAAAAGAGGGTTTTAGGCACAGGTAAACAACATTTACTCACAAACAATAATTTACCCTTGAGAAGGGAAATGGGCTAGATGACCTCATCAAGCCCCACCTATCCTATTTTCAATTTTTAATCTATACATTGAATACTTAGGGATGGTATTCTGAAAGTAGGCAGTTCACATTAATGACAATTTTAGTGGTGCTCAGTTACCTGCCTTTGCAAACAAGAGAAGTATGTAATTCCTCAGCTGCCTGGGCTGAGCTAAAGATTTGATATTCCCAAAGTATCTAAATGCAAAGTTTAAAAGAAAGGTGAAGCATGTGGTGAAATTTGAAGTAAGTGGACAATCGTCATGAGATATTTATTTTATAAATATCAAGCCCCCTTGTCTATTGCGTAACTCCGCCTTGTAATAAAAACATTGTAATAATAATGACAGCAACAATAGAAACATGCTTCTGAAGGCATGAAGACAAATTTGGAAGAGTATAGGGAAGTTACCAATTAAAAGTTTGCCTTCCCAAACCAGAGGAGCAAACCAGCTGCTCCAATACGTACAGCCTGCTCGGTACATCCCTATGGGATGATGCCATCGCTGAGGATATGCTTCAAGATCACGAATTCACAGTGTTTCACTAAAACTGCTGCTGCTTTAGTTCCTCTCCAGTGGATCAAAGGACTGCAAGATCCAGGAGCTCGTAGCAGAGTACTATGGTCTTACTCTTATAAATATCTACAAAAGTTGTATACATTTGCAAAGATAGAGATGGTTTAAAAGGAAAAAGGATGGAATTTAACCAGTTTGAGGGATATTATTTCAAAGATGATTAAAACAATACTGTAACTAGCCATAAAGGGTATTCCATTCTGTAAAATTAGCAGTAGATTACTACATGCTTAAATTGCCGAGGCCGTAAGTGGTAAATCAGTGGTAAAACCAAAGACCTTTATTGTTTACAAGTTTGTGCTTATATAGATTCACTACCTGTCCATGCGCTCTAGTTTGTTCATGGATTGGTTAACCCCTGCTGTCCACGCGCCGCACCTAAGTTTTTAATTGGTGCTGTTAATCAAGACACATGTCTTCTAGTTTGGGTCTCACAGCTGTGCTTCAAAACATTTTTATCTTCAGCTCCCTTTCTGCGCTTGCTTCATTACTTACTTTCTCAGACTATTTCCTTCAAGGCTATGTTGTTCAAGGTCGCTCGCAACACTCCCTGTGAATCCCACAATTGTCGAGGCCGTAAGTGGTAAATCAGTTTTACCAGTGATGAAAAAAGGTGAAAGAATAAAGAGAAGACAGCTGAAAAGTCTAGAATCAACTCATGTTGGAAATGAGCAAAGATCTACATGTAGATCAATGATAGAGAAGTCTATCATTGCCCAATGAATTTAAGTAGAGGTGAATTCCCCTCAAGATGCTAAAGTCCCACTTGCTCTGTCCTGTACCTGACAGATCAGTGACTAACGGCACTGGTTCTGGAAATACACCAAGTCCTGTAAACAAAGAAGCCAAACGGCACTCACTAAAGTCACCATCTACTATCACAGATGCTAGTATCACCACCCATGAAAGGCTGGTGGGAGCGTATGAATGTTCAACCAGTCAGACTTAGGGGCTTTGCTTTGACAGAGTTTGACGCAGTGAATTATTTAACGTAGCTGTAAGAAACCTGCTTTGACACAGAATGATTTAGGGCGAGAAGTGTGTAGTGCTCGCTGAAGGAGACTCATCTGTTTATACAGAAAACAATTAAAGATATGCAAAACTGCTCTGAAAAGAAGTGATAGGCGGCTACGTAGGATGCCACAACTAGGATAGCCTGGAATTCAAAACAGCTCCTTAGTGGTTGGAAACTTCCAACTCCTGGTTCAACAACAACACTCTGATGCTGGACGGACCAAGGAACTCCCGGTTTCTTCCTCTCCGCGGAGCAACACGGGCCCTTTGCTGCTGCAACTGCTGAGCTGACCTCTGCTTCTCATGGAAGGAGGAAACCTTCTCGTGCTGAGAGCAGCAGGAACCAAGAAGGACAAGCAAAGATACGGTTTTTTGCTCAGTATATAAACATAGTAAGAACAAAACCCAAGCAAACAGTAAATTTAAATACTGGATACATTTTGTATTTATAGATGAAGCAGCAAAAAAGACTTATGTTGTTTAAATACTAAGCACAGTTATGAGACACTGTTAAAAATATTTAACAAATACGTACGGCTTTTATGTAATGAAACATTTCCTCTCAAAACTGGGTCTAAGCCATCAGAAACAGCTCCCTCTTCAACAGTGTTCATAACTGACACTGAAAACAGTATTCCCACTGCTTTACTGGTTGAACTAGTTAGTTGAACTAAGCATCTATTGCAGCAAAAGTGCTGGGCATCCACTTAGACACAATGTTCTACTACCATGGGGCTCTCACTACAGCTCTTGTCAAAAGATTCGTTTGGTTTTGGATAATAGAGCATAAAGACACAAGAAAGATGTGCTTAGCTGCTATATTTGCAGGAAGGTATCTTCTTCCAAAGAGCTTTCAGGAAGCGTTGAAAAAAACAACTGGGACAGTTTAACGAAGTGATTCACATAATCATGACCGACAGACCAGCTGTTAAGATTTGCAGAAACACAGCCGAAGAATTAGACTTGATTTCACACACAGCTTAAAAAGGTCATCTCACAGAAACCGGATTGCTTAGAATATACCAAGAAAGTCAAATGTAGGCAGATAAAAATAGTTTTCAATGACCAACATAATTTAAAAGTAGCTCCTGTGGAGTAATTCAGTAAACTTGTTGCAAAACAAGAGATTCAAGCCCAGCACATTTCCCAGAAAGTCACTGGGCAAAAGTGAAAGCGAAGGATTTTTAAATTTTTTTTATTTCCCACGCAATCCTTCCCTTCTAGATCACACACTGGGTTATTTTTGTACTGAACTTTAAAAGGAAGCAAGTTATAATAAAAGTGCCTGCTGTGAAATTTATACACAAAGCAAAAATAAAACTAAAATAACTAAAAATACTATGGCATGCAGTCTAGAAAGAACATTTAAGGCAAGGGGAAAAAAAAGGTCAGCGGAACTGCTGGTTGTGGAGGGCACCAACAAAACACAACAGGCTAGCACACGCAAATGTCTTACGCAGCACCGAGAGGGAAGTTGTAAGACTAGACTATCAGGTGAAGTACACAGAAATTTGGTTATACCACGTCTGGACCTGCACGGAGCCTGCATTAGCTCTCCCAGTTCTGATGTAAGCATGACCAAGGTCAGCTTGCACGTCTCTAAGCCCGTCCATCTACCGGATATCCCACCCATATATCATTAAGAGCTTAGCTCACTACAAATTTGGATTTCTGTAGGTAACTTGCTGATACCCCAAGTCATAATTTTCCTAATGCAGTCTCCATTACCAGCATTTTTCAGATGCTGGGCTGTGCCTTCCTAGGACAGTAAAAAAGCTCCTGGAAAAAAGAAAGATTAGAAATTACAGGTTCAACTCCGTGTCAGGAGAGCCCAAGTTCACTTCCATTATTTAAGCTAGTTGTGATTCACAAGGAGAACAGCATGGGCAGTACAGGTCACTGAGGAGAGGGACACATGGGAAAACATTGGGGTATGCTGCTCAGTACAACTTTTAAGCACACACAAGATTAGCTCACTCTCTCTGAGAGAGCAGGTAAGTGGGTATGATATGCTCAATACATCCTCTACAATTTAAAATGTTCCATGAAATGTCATTGTCAAGAAAGTTTCATGACAACGCCACTGTCATTTCAATTAACTATGTAATTTTTATGCAGTAAATAAATGAAAATTGCAGGGACGATTCATCAAAATCCTACCCCTTCACATATGATTCACCAATCAAAAGGCAAAAAGCCACTATCGATCTACACCTGGAGATGTAACGATCTGAATCCACAGGTCTAACAGACGGAGTTAACATTTTTTGGCTGAAACAAAAGCTTCAAGGTCATCACCATGAAAAAATTTTGACATGCATATATAGTTTTTCAAAGTGTACAGTTGTAAGACCTTCTTCAGCTAAAATTCTGATACACGGGCTGAACGCTGTCTTTGATCCATTTGACCATTCTGTCTTGAAAGTGTATCATCCCACTAGTTGCTAAATGAATCTCTCGCATTTACCTTTTTTATTTGGGTTTTTTCCACTCATTTTTTCCACCTGAGAAATGGCTTCTTCCCAGCAGCTGTTGCTTGCTTGGATATGAGGCTGAATAAACTTCAGTTTTTGTTCCAGAACCTGATGGGCTTCTGTTGTCAGCTCAGGTGTCTCCTTCGTGCTAACAAGTTTTTCAAGTTCATCCTCAAGAATTATTACCCTAAGTGATGAGGAGATGAACAGAAATAAGTAATAATAAATATTTGATTTCACCATTCCTTCAAGTATTTCCTTTAATATTTTCTTCAGGTTTTAAGAATCTAACTCGGCCAACTCCTCAAAGATGCCACCAAGATTTTAAAAAGAAGATCCTTTTCTCCACATCAAGATACATGGCTCACCTGCATTCGTTATAGTAATTCTTATATGTAAGATTAAAGGACTTGGACAGTTTCAATTATTTCACCAAGGCAGTGATGAATCTTTAAAAATATTTACTAGGTAGTGTCCTGGTTTCACCCAGGATAGGGTTAATTTTCTTCCTTGTAGCCGGTACAGTGCTGTGGTTTTGGATTTAGGATGAGGATAATGTCGCTAACACACTGATGGGTTAGTTGTTGCTCAGTAGTGCTTACCCTAAGTCAAGGAATTTTCAGTTTCCCGTGTTCTGCCAGCGAGGAAGCTGGAGGGGCACAAGAAGTTGGAAGGGACACAGCTGGGAGAGCTGACCCCAGCTGACCCAAGGGATATTCCATACCATATGACATCATGCCCAGTATATAAACTGGGGGGGAAGCTGTCCTGGAGGGCTGGGAAGTGGCTGGGCATTGGTTGGTGAGTGCTGAGCAATTGTTTTTCATTTGCATCACTTGTTTTTCTTGGGGTTTATTTCTCTTTTTGTTCATTGCAATTTTTCAAAATTACTGTTATCATTATATTTCAATTATTAAACTGTTCTTATATCAACCGACAAGTTTTCTCACTTTTACTCTTCTGATTCTCTCCCCCACCCCACTGGCGGGGGAGCGAGCGAGCAGCTGCGTGGGCCTGAGTTGCCAACTGGGGTTAAACCACCACAGGTAGTTATTACAAGTTGAACTTTCTTATAAAGCATTTGGTATGTTGCAAAATCAATGAAAGATAAGTATGTTTTCAGATTTTTTCAAGGGAGTGACAAAAGCAAGGCAAGATCTTAATGCACTGCTTAGCTTTGAATTTTCACCAGATACTTAAAGAATAACCAGGAAACAATATCAGATTCCATACTGAACCAAGGATGTTTGACACCACGCTATGGCCTGTGTTTGCAATGACCATACGTATCGGCCTTTTTTGTTTTTAATCTGGGATACGAGCTGACAACCCAGAGAACTCAAGTCTGAAGCCTTCTTCCTACAGGCATATTCTCTTAACTCGTGTGTCAACTTACTCATTGAGCAGTGCCTTGAGATGAAGCTGCAAGCTGCGTACTGCGGTCTGAAGACTGTTCAGCTCTCTTGACTTCTGCTTTGTTCTGGTTGACCGTTCAAAACCCGACTGATGCTGAGTTTCAAAGTACCGATAAAACTCATAGCTTCGCTTAAGCTCCTCTAAGCAGGCAGCGTGTGTATGAGGTAGGCCTTGAGTCACATCAGACAAGATATGATGAGGCAGCTGTTCAGGGGAGACCAAGGGCTTGGGGGACGCGTTGGCCGGGGAGAGGAGCAGCACCAGCCTCCTGAAGAATTCCGAACTCTGCCCTACCCAGAGCTGGAAGAGGACCTGCAAAACAGGGTAAGGTTAGAGCTCTGTGCACCGGGGAAGACAGCCAGCCTCCAAAGGCAATGCACAGATACGCCATGGGAAAACATTGCTCGACCGGCAAAGGAACTTTGAAAAACTGCAAAAATCTGCTGACTGTTTTTGAAGGGTATCCCAGACCATGTGAGGTTCAGATCTTATGAACATTAGGTGACTGTGAACTCTTTGATGAGGGATATTACATCCAATTATGCTCAGAAGGCTGTCAGAGGCCTAAAAACTCATATTCTCATCAGGCAGTTTCTCCACATACCCTACAGCTCATAAAGGGTTACCAAAATTCCAGTGGCAGCAAAGACATTTTTTCCTTTATAATGCCAAGCTATCATTTCTATGATCTACGAACTACTGCATTGCCCCACATCCAACCTTGAAACATGAGTCTAATTGCACTGTACTTCAACAAAAAACATTCTACAGCTGAAGAAAGCTGAGCTGCTCACTTCATTTTTTTTTTTCAGCCAAAGTGAGAAATTTCACCAATACCACTAAGGAGGGAAAGGCTTGTAAGAAATTAATCAATTCACAATGTTATGTATGGTACAAAAGAGGTCAGTCCAGCAAGGAAACCCACAATTTCAATTTCTTGAGAACTTCCACTTCCAGTGAAATGAACTGTTTTCTTAGTTTAGAGAAGACTGTTGCCTCAGTAGACCATGACAGAACAGTAGCATCTTAGATCTCTAAAATGAAAAGGAAAGGTTGTGACACTTTTCTCTGCAATACTGGCCCTTATTAAAAGGGATCAACTGTAGGTGACTATGAAATGTAGTCTGAAATCTGTTCTCAAGCATTCCAGACCAAGGAAGACAAAGTAATTACTTATCATGCTTTTTTCCACCCCCCTCAGCTACAGAATAGGACTAAAAATTTACTTGTTCTGAGAGTTTAGATCTACAGGATTGGAAATAATATATTTACATCTTTGTACTCTACTACTATGGACAAATAGCAGTTTTTCCAGTGTGCAATCAATCAAGAGCAAAACATTCAGAACAGTAGCACAAAAAATTAAATGCCTTCAGATAGATGTGGTCTGATATATTCCAAGGGTGCATCAAAAACACTTGGATGCAAATTTCCAAAAGAAAAAAAAAAATTCTCAATTTACAAAAGATGGTTATGAGAAGAAAGAACACAGAATGATAGAAAATTAATTTGGGGCACACATGCAAGACCGTGATTTGGCAGGGTGCTAAAATAAAAAGCAAACAAATGGGCAGCAATCACCCAAGTGTCCCTGAAGGTGCAGTGCCCTGGACAGAAAGTCAAGAGCTCATGCTATAAAAAGCACAAAAGACGACCAATCCCTTCCACCAGACATAAGGCAAAAGCAGTGAAGAAGTAGCACACAAAAGTAGTGGACCTTAGGAATTGATAATAACAATCCAAAACCTACCTGAAAAAAGGCACAACGACGAGAGAAAAGGAAATTCCAGATGTATTTAGAGTTGCAAATAGCGTGCTCTGCCAATGACTCCTGATGATTTTTACTGACACTTAAACTTCACCCAAAATATCCAACTGGCTCTCCTCAGCTTGAATCGGTATTTTTTCTTAAGCCAAAAACTTCTCAGTCTTTAAACTGGTTTAGTTCAAGGACAAGGTAGCCAAAAGACACAGGCTACATTTGTCACATGGCCTAGACATGAGCTTGAATGAAAATTAAAATATTAATCAAATCTGGATACGTGTCTGTATTCTACCTGCATTTTAATATAAAGACAAGTTCTCTCAAATTAAAAAAGATTGAAGAGAACTGCACATAAATCCAGGGCTTGCAACACAAATATGTCGTAAGGTTATCAAAGTATATCTATTTTATTATCTGCACAGGAATCTGCTTAGGACTGACTTATGTTAATTTAGTTTGGTTTAACTACACCACACCCAGCCTACATCACCTACATCACTCTGAGTTAACGTAAACTGAGATTTACTAGTTGTGAGCCTAACTGTACCCAGAAAGCATCCCAACTGGTTTAACTAAAACAGATTTCAGTTAAATTACTGCAAATTGCAGGTAAACAAAGACTTAGCTTACAAGCTTGGGCACCTCTGCCTGGCTTCTTGTGCTTAAAAAGAAGTGGGTGAATGAGTGGGCTTGCATGGTTGTAATTAGAACTTCAGCTAATGAAAAGGCAAGAAAAAAATCCTAAAAGCTCACATCTGATGTAGCTCTTAGCTTACAACTAATTAGACAAAGCCTCAAAGCTTGGCAATCACCATTACTAGTACGATTTACTGTCAGAACAGAAGAAGTCAAGGTCTAGGAATTAAGTGAATAAAACGCAACAAGAGCCAACCCCACAGAAACACAGAAGTCACATAATAATGGAATTTTCCATTAAAAAAATCACGTTAAAAGGGAACTGCCTCAGCAGAGAACCACCAGAGTGTAGAAGGCTTGCATTCAAATTAAATCTTCTTTCCAATTGCAAACATTGACTCATGTAAATTAAAAATACCCAACATCTCAAAACAAAATAGATAAAAAGGCCATTATACGGTTGTCATTCTGTTCAGTTAAATGTTTTTCAAAGATCAAAGAACCACACTGGCTCACAGCAGCAGGGGTCCAAGCTCAGAATTTCTAGTCCTCAGTGCAACTAAATGCAGCTATTCCCTTTGGCAATTATAACTAATTTATATCTTCTGATATCGCTCTTTTTATTCAAGAGATTAGCTAAAAAAGATGTAAGTACAAATCTGGAAATTATTTTATTCAACTGGGATCAAGTGAAATCAGAAAGCAAAAAAATCATGTTTAAAAAGGAGATTGATCAAGCCGATTATAAAACCCTGGCTTGAATTTACATGATTTGCAGAAAAAAAAAATCCTAATGTTGTACTGTGCAACTCCTCTTCAATGACATGCAAAAAAAAAATCATCTAAATGCCAATAAATGTAGAAACACATGATATGAGACCGATTACATCGCCCCTTCAGCTGACTGCATTACTACAGGCTAGTAAGTAGAAGCCACAGGGCTTCACGACAACTGAAAGAGATTTTTCACCAGGAGCCTGCGTGGATGGGTCTGTGCTTCTCCGAGAGGTTACCTTGAGCGCAGGCAAGCTGAAGCCATCGGTTAGATTGTGTGCCTCCTCTTCAGAGACTTGCTCTTCGCTCAGTCCCAGACCCAGCTCCGTAAAGGGGACTACGCAGATGTAGCTGGTCACGTTGTCGCTCTCCGAGTTCAGAGGGTAGGTTTAGCTGGAGTTAAGGTGGTTAACAAAGCAACTTTTGCATTAAACACACAGAAAAGTTAAAAAATACCCAAACCACCACCTAATAAGGTTTCTTATTTCTGGCAATTTGTACGAAAGCACATACATTCCACCCAAATCCACCTGAATCCTGTTTAATTAAATGTTTTGCAATCCTTATTCAGAGAACAAGTTTTAAAGGCTCTTAGAAGGATGAGAGACAAGACATTGAAAAAAACACCGACATCTAAATACAAACACTTAAAAAGAAACAAAACAGATTGATGAAAAATCCCTGGATCCCTTTCAGGTGAGGAAAATATCTTATCTTTAAATATTAAGCTTCCAAGAAGTAGCTTATGTCAATCTTCAACCAGAAATTCTCTATTTAACAGAGGAAAGAGGAGAACAATTGTGCAATTTGAAGTTTCAAAGGTAGCCTGTGTTATAGACCAAACTCCGGATGATGGGAATCCCCTGCGAGTTCTGTCTGCGGAGGGACCGCTCAGAGATGTCTACAATAACTGCTCTTGGACATTGTGGGTAGTACCGTGAAGAAGAGGAGCTCCTGGATTGTCATATCAATAATTTTATTGACTATATCACTGTCAAGCCACCATGATCTTGGCAGGAACAGTGGCAAACTGTTATCTACCAACACCATTCAGCACATTGAAATTCATACTGAATATGAAAATGTCCATTTCCAGTCCTCAGAAATGCTTATAAAGTAGGAAGCAATCACAATATAACTGATACCAGAAGACAAGATAAAAATAATTCATAGACTGGGCAGCATTTATGCTAAAATAGCACTAATTTTAGGCTAACCTTATGCTGAGGAACGAGGAGGAGGAACAGTTCAAGATTTCTGCACATTTTAGATAGTTACCCAGTCACAAAATAGTAAAATTTGTTTTAAAACAGAAACTTACAACTTAAGGTCATAAGCAAATACATTCCACAGAAATGCATTTTAAAAAAATTGCGAAGCATTCATGAAAATAAGAGTCTAATTTAAACTATGGGGTTTTTTAATTTATATTTTGATTTACAAGCTGAACACTCCCATCTCTTGGGGCTCATAAAGCCGATTAGAAGCACCTGTCTCCCATCCAGCTAATGTGTTTTCTGGGGAAGCTGCAAGCTCCATCTGCTTTCACTCCCAAATTTTCCACCTGCTAAATCCTCATAGGATTAAACTTGTAATAATGATTTCCTCCAGAAAATTTTTACCGCTTCAGTAGAAGAACACTGCATAAAATAAAATTTCTGTAGCCCAAGAAACAGCAATACTAAGTGTTCAGGCTCTAAACAAGCAATGTTTCTCCCTAATTTCTCCCCTAAGTCCAGGAAGAAAGAAGCCTATTAAGTGTTCTCCAGACGCATAAATGCAGATGAAAGCCTGCAAAGCAAATCACTCAAAATCACAATATTTTGTGGCCACCACCTGCTGCCTCACATAAAAGACGGTGTCTATTCTACGGTAACCTGACAGCATGCCCAGCAGATGGAGCACATGGGATGAGGATGGTCACTCCATCAGAGATGGAAAAATCAGCTCAAAACCCTTCAGGACCAGTTATCTCAGAGACTAATTATATTCGTTCTTAATCTCTTCCTGCAACAAGACATTTCCAACAGCAGGAACATCAGAAAAAGCGGTTTGGACATATGTGAATTTCTAAGTCATGCTGAAAAAAAAAAATAATTTCTAGGGAACCTCTCAAATGTGTTGTTTGACCAAAGGAGCCCCTTATTATATTATTATTATAATAATTATACTATGTCTCAGCTAGGGATTCCCAGTGGACTCCCACACCTCCTGCCTGGCCCTCCTCTACTGTAGCCCACCCACTCCCACTTCTACGTGCTAGGCGAAAGCAGAGGCCTGAGCCCATGCCCCCATTAGCTTCCTAAGGACTAAACCTTTATAAAGGTTAAACTCATCCACACAAACATATACATAGACACAAACACACTTCCTTCATGCACGCTGCTCTAAAATGCAAGTATTTTTACTGCTAACGTTTTCTATTAAAGCCAAAATACAGTAACTAACCTTTGGTTAGTTAAATTTTTCAATGTCTTTGTGAAAATATTTCATTCATCGGTTTAACTTACATTCCTTATTAGCTTGGAAGAAGACAAGGCAAAGCTACTTAATAATAAACTGTCAAATCCAGAATAAAGTCTCTGTACAGTGAAGGTCTAACCTCTGTCAGGAGGCCAATCCTACTTACGTAGAGAAAAGCAAGAACACTCATGTACCCCTGTACGTAACAATTTCATACTCATACTTTGCTCTTCAAAAGCACATCCTCATCTAAATATCTAACAGGCGGGCCTCACAATATCCCCGAGAAGGCGAAGCTGCTCTTTGATACAGTTCTCACCTGCTCCCCAGGCGGGAAGGGATGAGCTCAGCATGTGATGAACTGGCTGGCCAAGGAAGAAACATCGCACTGAAAAACGTCCAAGTGTCTTTACTCAGACCTTCCAGCATCGGATTTCTGATTTAGGCTTTTATGACCCAAAGAGGGTATTACTTTTTGTTCAGCTTACTGTTTTCTTGTGTGAGCTTTCCGTTTCCCAAGTTAAAAGGTAGGTGTTCTAACATTTCATGATGCAATAACTACATTTTTACAGAGGCGAAGGAACAATTTTTTACTAGATTTAGTAGAGGCAATTTGCAAGTTTCCCCATGCTCAGTTCATCTCAAAAGACATAGAATATATTTTATATCCATTCCACATTAATGGGCTAAGATATCATTCAGTTTAAAATATGGCTATCTAAAATCTGGTTTTATAACCCTATTTATGCCTTTCCATCAGAGAACGACACCTTACACTTAGAATAAAATTAAAGTTTTTTCAGTTTATATAGTCCAACACCCAGGTCCTACCCACCAATATCGTTCAACAGAAATGGAATATCACACCACCTTGCACCAGCTGAGGATGAGACTATTAACATCATCCAGTAACATAAGCTACAAAATTTCCTCCACCCAAGTTGCATATAATTAAATCAGAGAATAAACCATAGATTCCCATGACGCAGAACCCACAAGCTCTTAAGTATAAAAATATCAAGCAACTAGCACGCCGACTGAAATACGGCCTGAGTTATTAGACCATTCAATGGAGCATAACGCAGAGATTTGTTGAGTTAGTAGTGACTGGTCTGCACAACATCTTGTAAATACTTAACCCAAAAAGCCTAATTTCTAGTTTAAGCTTTCAGCCATTGCATTGTGCTATACCATTATCTTCCAGATTAAAAGAGAAATAATTTTCTCTTTTCTCCCTTCTGGCTTTTTCTTCTATGATTTTGAGCAACATACTCTTGCCAGTATGAACAAATCAGAATAAGAATGGCACGAGAAAACGCTGAATTGTTTCTGCAAGCACCCAGCTGACCCTTCACATAAAATGTAAGGAATATGACTTTCCATCTCATTAAATTACTGGTCCACCAAGTTTGATACAAAAACCTGGTGTAAGGCCGAAGTATAATTGTATATTTTTTCTATTTTACATGGGAATAAATTTTAATTAGGACAGTATTAATTTGTTCTACTCACCGAAGGCAGCTGCCTAGCTAAAAGGAGGCACACTAGCCACAAGCAAATATTGATAAACATCTACTTTTACTGAAGCGAGTAATGATAACATAGCAAGTTTATGTAATTTGTATTGCCATGAATAAAACTGTGAATTAAGATTTTTAATTCCCTGTAACAGGTTCATCAGACAGCTCTCCCTCTAACACATTTGAGATACACATTAACATAAAAGCCTAATTTGCTGCAGATATTTTATAGGAGGAATAATACTGACGGCTATAAAATTTACACTTAATGGATTAGTATAGATCAATATATCACCTAACATTTAAGATGTTTTTACTAATTTATTTTTACTTAGTCACTCATTTATGACTACAATTAAGATTAATACTTAGATTAGCCAGTTTTTAAGACTCAGCCCTCAAGTATATTTTCTTCCTTGTCTCTCTTGAAGTTAGAACATAAAGCAAGTGGCTTAAGTTCAAAGCAGTTTCCCTTTGGCTTCCAATAGGACGAGTCTTAGTGATTCAAAGTATGAATCTGATATTTATCTCAGAAATAATCTAATACATTAAAGTATATGTTTAGCAACCTACTTAAGATTACTGACAAAAAAAAATATCTCTCAAGGCAGTGTAAAATAAAGCAACAATGTGCTTTGCAGTTTGCATTTGTTGACAAAATGAGATACAAATCCAGAAATATTTTTAAGATTAAACATTTCTCTATTTTACTGTATAGTTTTAAAGGTCGAGATTTAAAACAATGTAAGTATGAAAATTCACAGTAGAATTTAGCTCAGACATATCATTCACTGAAATGACTTTTTCAGGGAAAAAAATAACCCACTGAAATAGATTTTGCTTATTTCTGAACACTTTTTTGACTTAACATTACATCCACGTAACCTGTCTCAGAAAATAGTTCCTATAAGAGGCTGTTCAGCTGATTTTGTTAAGCACATACAAATGCATGTTTTCAAAGTAGAGAAAATTATCAGTCCTTATTAACCCATAAATTGAGTAAATTGATCTTGTTGCAAATTATTTTTGAAAGGGATATTCTCACTTAGTAAGCTTGAAAAACAATTCAGCTACAGGTATTTCTAGTAAGTTCTGAATATATAGGAATGTTTTAAATGAAAGCTTAAAGTATACCTTTTACTGCATTAGTAAATTTAATACCATTTTCTACAATACTTTCACCATTATATCTAAAAATAGACATGTCTCAGTTCAAGACGTGTTTACCATAGCCTTAAGGCAACAATTATCTTCACTGCATTCTAAACTGCAATCTCAGATTTCCAGGTTTATTATAAGAAACTCATGGATGAAGGACAATAGGATATATTCCACATTATCATCCTTTTGTCGGCCTGTACACCACTCAGAAGGCCCAGTCACAGACTAGGACCTTATTTTGCTAACTGGACATCACACAGAAAGGATCTTTGAAGCCCAAGGCTCCCCACTGTTGTCAAATGACAAACATTACACCCACATTGCAGCATCAACTGAAGACTATCAACCAAAGAAAGCAAACTGTAATATGAAAGTTTATTTCCCATTTATACACGCACATAAATGTTTCCATGAATGCATGCCCCGTGGTTCAAAGCAGTGCCTGTCCTATGTATTTGCTCACACTTAAGAAATTACTACTTCCTTATTCCTTAAAGAGAAAAAGCGCCCTAAAGAATGATCAGCCATCAGTTAAAAATGGAACTAAGATTTGACCTTTAGTGTATTAGCTGGGAAGATTTAATTTTGGTTGCTCTTGAGACTAAGAGGGGTTTTGCATATTAAATTCCTATTGAAAATTGTTCCAAGCAAAAATGATTCAGTTTTTCACTTGCTTAAATTCAGAGATAGATCTGCTCTGCCATAAAAAATACAAACCAATATCCAGTAAAACAAAAAATGTTTATTTAAACAGTATTATGAGTAATCAGGGAAAATAGGTTTTGGGTTTTTTTTCATGTAATTTTGTAACATTAGTCCAAGTTTTAAATATTTGGAATGTTTCTCTACTATCTTTTTCTCTAATAAAAGCATTTTGTTTTGCTGTTGCCACTGTAAATCACTAATAGTGCTACTGGATTCATGTCTCTCACAATGCTCAGAAAAAGCTAATTTCAAATAGCAATTAATTAATCCATACTCAAATAACCTAGAGGAGTTAGAGTCGAGAATATCTTCTGATTTTGAGCAAAGCAGAACTTACTAAAAGGAACTGTAAAAGTCAAAATTGGGATCTCATTTCCAGACTTTGGATGGAAGTTCCTTTCCTTTCATTTATCAACATTCCTTTCCTTCAATTTATCACCTCACTCCTTTATTTAATCTCTCCAGTTCCTCTCTCTCCTTGCTGTAGGCCAGATTTATGCTAACAATCTGATGACAGCCAAAGGCATTAAAGCTGTCACAAGTGGCAGCTGTGAATGCTTTCGACATGAAGGAATCTCTGGCCCCTCCAGCATAAAAGTACTATTTAATTGCACAAGGCACTGCAACCTATTTGAAAGATGCTCCTTGCCATCAATACCCACGTAATACACATAACGTTTTCAGGCATTCACGATACGCAGGGGAAAATTCAAAGTAAGGCAACTTGAAACTTCCTTAAAGCTGCTCTTAATTATCATGGCGGGGAGGTGGAATCCTTTACTTACCTTCCTTACATTTAAATTCCTTACTTTCAGTTTTCATGCGCTGCAGAATTGGCCCAGCCTGCATCTCAGCTCACATGCTACCACTGGTTTTGCCACTACGATATTTCTGCACAAATACAATGCTTCTCTGTCCATTTATCAAGAACCTCTCCATATACATGCAACTTCAAGAAATTTTTGGCCATTTATTTCTGCTGGCCCTTACGACTATCTGCATGATACTTTGGTATAATGGAACTTAGATGTTAAAAGTTTTTCAGAGACAGATATAAATGTCAAATTATCCAAAGTAAACAAAACTTTCTTCTCTCCCATTCCTTAATTTAAAAGACATTCCTTAAGTTTAGTAGTTACAAAACTAGTGGACAGTCTAATACACACCAATATTCCTTGAACCTGTAACTTCCCCAGCCGGAGCAACAATCTACACACCGGCGATAACCGCCGCTGGACTGACTTTCTTCATGGGGAGGATATTTGGGAAGGCCATGCTAACGGATCCTATTTTTCAGATCTCTATTCCCATGTTCTTAGAAGTGATTCCTGATTATTTCCCAGCTAGGTATCAGTTGCCCTTATCAACGTCTCCGAACCAGTCAGAGTATTTTTTTCTTTCTTTACATAGCAAATACACCTTATTCCTCAGAGCTGAGAGGGAAGTCTTGAGCCCAGAATGAGGACGCCTATGCGTACACAAGCTATTCTTTTGCAAAGAAATACTAGTTTCCTTTAAAGTGAACGCACACACTTGCTCTGTGTGTGCCTCTGTGTGTGCACACATCATCACTCTATATATCCACCCATTTGCCAGGCAAGATACATTAGTCAAATATTATGTTCCTGGAAGACAAACCAAGTAATTTGTCATGTCAGATTTTCAACATTCGCTTTACCATCAGCTTTTGTTTCCCTGCATGTGTTTTTTCAGATCAGGAACATCACTGTTTTATTTTTTGCTGTAATACGGGGTGAAGAGATGTTATTTCCTATATAGTACAATAAGTACAATAAACATAGAAAAAACTCTTGAAATGCTAATGCCACTAAAGAAAGTATACAATTCACCAAAGAAATACAGATGACACTTCACAAAATGGAACCTGAACAAAGTGTGCTGCTTTGATTCAGAGTAGAAACTCCTCACTCTTCAATGTGCCTTTTGGCTAATTAATGTAATCAGAGTTTCACCCAGCTTGTCTGAAACAGGAAACCAACTTACCTTGGAACACAGGGATGTGGAGTGGAAGGCCATCTTCTTCAGAGAAGAGGGTATTTTGGTGCAAGGAAAAAAGATGGCTAAGAGGTAGTATAAAACAAAATTCTGAAGGACTCTGAAACACATTACCAGTACTTACACCAAAGGCATGGGCGTCAGTGACTGGGACAGTGTTTTCAGCACACAGACTCTCATCTCCCACGGCACGGTACAGAAAACGACAAAAATTTTAAGAATGTTGCAAACCAAGCATAAGCCCTGATTTACTATGCTACCTTTTCTTTATCTTGTTTAGATATGTAATTAGAAATTGTACGTTTCTAGATATATGAACTCTAAACACTAGCACAATTACAGGTAGGTAACATGGAACATCTGAACTCGTGAGTTTTTACAAAAAGGATATTTTTTCAGCATGTATAGAGTAGCCAGTCTTGAAGCTCGAAAGTTGGCTCTGACAGATCGATAAACGGCTTTCCGGAGACCAATAAGATGCTGACTAGGATGCTGTCCAGCTTTATTAAATGGGCAAGCGGCACTGACCCTGTCAAGCAAACTTGAAAAGTAAAATGTGATACAACTGTACAGATGTCCTAAAGCATTTTTAAAAGACAGTACATCAGTTTTCTCATTCCACTACTTAGAAAACTTTTTCAAACCACTCAGTAACTATGAGAGCAAAAAAAATTTCCATCATATCAATGATATATTTAATCAAAATTTCAGAAAAGCAGCCAGGGTTCCTCAGCAGACAGCCTGATTCCATTCTCATCTGAGCCATGGCAGAACTCCTGAGGCCATTTGTCTTCTCCAAAGTTTTCCAAAATGATACACTAAGGGTAGACAGGCCATAACATTATCTCTGATACAAAACTATCACAACCCCGCTGCAAGCTTCGGAAGTTTTAACACAGAGATATTTAACACATACCTCTTTATATGCAAATTTGTTATTTAAATAATTTTTGCAGAACAATGTGCTACTATTGGTTTTCATGCAAAACATGATATTCTTTCAATCTTTTCCATGCAGAATCTTCTCTAGGTCAACAGAAGTATCATGTGAGTGGTGACATAGATTTTATCATCATGCAATGAATGACAGCTGCGTTTGTGGGAGTCTGACAGGTAAACACATGAAATGGATGCAACAATACAAGCGTATTTGAAAATAAATTTTGGTGTCCACACATTCAGGTGAATACACCATTTAAAAGAAACTGTGCCATTTGCCTATTAGAATATACTTCGGAATGGCTTTAGAACTGTAAGAAATTGCCTCATCTGGAAATAAACCGAATTGTGAACTGGGTGAAAGTCTGCGTAACATTAAGCTGTAGAAAAGGAAAAAAAGATTGACATCCAGTTATATCTATTCGTATATAGTCTGATGCCAAACCTATGACTGAGACCCTGAAAATAGCCTAGGTGCTCTCTACTTGCTGGGACTGTTTTGACTAGGATCAACTCAGGAACAGACGTAGAGTGGAGACCAGGACGATGAATTGTGATGAATTGTTTGGGGACTGGAAGCCTGCTTCTCCTCTCATCTTTCCCAGGGCATGGTGAGGAGGTGACTTTATGTCCACAGTCACTCAAAAGGGAAAAGTATACAGGGTACCTGGCAAGGCTGAGGTGGGTTGCTGCGTTGGCCAGCAGACTTGACCCTGCTGGAAAAATGTCAGTCCTACTGCCTGTGCTTAGCTGGACCACGCTGCACATTGACCGGGATGGGAAACAGCTTATCGCCTTCACTGTCAAATATGAAAAGCGATGCAGCCCACCCAGTAAGCAAGGCTGGACCCGTACCAGTATGGCAAATATGATTAACGCAAGGAGATTCATGCCAAATAATACAGTATATTGAATACGCTAGCTGAAATATCATACTGAAATATTTGTGTACTGTATTAAATTATGTGAGTGTTTATAGAACATCTCATAAAGTACTTTAAAATCTGAATAAAATAAACCCAAACGGGGTTAATTTCAATTTCTAAATATGAATTTAATATGCTAATCTTGCCATACATTTCACTAGGGAACATAGCACGTAATGTTGTACACGCTGATCTCTAATGCTTCCCTAGCTTTTGAAGGTAACAACTGGAAGTGTTTATGGATAAACTCTCCCATCAGTTTGTAGACTCAAGCCCTGGGTGAATTGTCAGAAGCAGGCTCAAAGAAAAGGAGCAAAATTATTCTACCATAAAAAAAAAAAAATCTATATTCTGCTACAGCAATGTAAGAATTTCCAGCTCCTATACAGAACAAATATAGCACAACTCATGCACAGCATGTACTATTGCCAGTATTCAGCAAAACAATTTACTTTCCTTCTGGCAAGGCTTGTTTCAGTGTTTTTTATAAAATAATTCCTCTTTATTCCAGTAATCTTAAATTAGTATACTTTGCTATAAATGTCTATGTGCCAGACATGCCATATCCCTAACTTCCCAATGTTCCATTTGTCTTCTATGTATTTTAATTGGACTTTAAAAATGTTACCAGTTTTGCGTATCAGCCACAAATAGCAAGAAGAAAAAAAGGTTAAAGGTGAATTTCCTTTTTCGTACCGCTCCAAATCCATTTTACTTGTAAAGAACAGTGACTTCTTTCTCCATGAATCTCACAAGCCAATTTTAAATAGGCTTTCAACTTTAAACAAACTTGTACAGACATATTAATAAAAACCTATTACTGCACTCCAACATGACAGCAGTTCTATACAGATGCTATATACACCATAGAGCTTGATTCTAGTTTAAAATATAGTAGAAAGTGAGCATTTTGGAGAAATTATTTCAGTGACAGGCAAGGAAATAACTCCTTGCTGCTTATTGCTGCGGCCCTTCATTACGTATTCCTACAGTCCTCATTTTATAACGTGCAAGAGAATGGAGACACTTTCATTACCCAGTGGAAATTCCAGGCTGCAACTCGTGATCAGGCTTCATTTATCTAATTGCAAATGAAGCAATCAGACAGAAATGCTGCTGTTCTGCCGGATTAGAGCACTGCCCTACCTTGGCTACACTATTTCTGTAATCCAGACTACCCCGGTGAGGTCTCAGCCATCTCTGCATCGCAGAGCTTGTACCATACAGATATACGTGAAATGCCAACAGCTGCGTTAAACACTTCTGAAGGGCATTCTGAAATCAGAATATCCAGGTGCCTTTGAGAGCAGCTAATATAAGAGAGGCCTGCCAGGGTTCTTAGTTCCTTTTCTAAGAGGCTGCTGTGGGGTTTTTTGGGTGGGAGGGGAATGAAGGCAAAATGATGCTTGAATTGGCTAAGTATATAGCGGTCACCACCACACAATAGTAAACCAGTGAATCTGTGGACAACTGACCAAAACCTCATCAAGAATAATTTAACATTTATAGAGACAGTCAAATATCAATTAACAAGGGGCAAATAGGATAGGACAAAGCAAAGCCATAGATATTTCAAAGCATATGTAAATTAGCCTACAAGAACATAGCAATGGATGGTGCAATGGGGAGAAAAAACCAGCAGTGGAACACAGGGAATTTCAGGCCAAAGCTGCAGACCTAGGCTTGCCATACCAGAGTTTAGTTAAGTACAGCTAGCCCAAATCTGAACTCAGTGCTATTTAAATGTCAGCTTTGGTATCTTTCCATTCACAACATGGTTAATGCATGGTCCAAACAACGCTGAGCCAGCGGTCTATTAAAACAGCTGCGTATGTACCACTGAACAGGATGCTGTGCTACCTGGTTGAAATCCCATTCCTTCAAAGATGTAAACTGACACAGGAAGATACGCATTAATTTTTCAGATGCAACCACTTCTATTGCCACGTGACTCTTTCTGAACAAGCATTAAGACTTTGATGAGGTTACTACAGGAGAACACACTAAACTTGGTTCTGCTACGGTTTATTGTAGCAAAATTCCGGAAGAAAAAAGGGGTAGCTATCTTTTTGGATCATACATGAAGTGCTATCTCAAGCAAAGAATTTTATGGTGCCCTGTGCAGCAGCATCTCTTGCACATGTGGATGCAGGAAAGGACACTCTGGAGTTCGAACCTCCTCCAGGCTAAACCAAACCAAAACCTGTACAGCACCGACTTCTTCATACTGGACAATTGTTCCAATGAGGATGCTGGCACAGTCAGACTTTTCCCACTCCATCCATACTCCAAAGTCTTTTGAAAAGCTTGCCAAAGTTTTAAGTAAAGAGGCTATTAGATCAAGCATCAGCTTAAAGACCAGTCTGTTTTTTGTTAATCTGTTATCTAAGATATGTAGTAAAAGAACAAGGCACCAGCAATTTAGACATTGACCACAAGTTCGTTTGCTTAAACTTAGGAAAAAATCCAAATGTTTTTCGCATCAGTAATTTGGACAAGCCCTAACAATAATTTCTTTTAAGAACCCGTTTGCAAAGATAAGACTGCCTATTGCTTAACTATATGCTTCTTCAGCAACAAAACAAACCAAAACACATAGCTAGGCAGACTGAAGACATGCTTATGCATTCCAAAGGGAGAATGAAACATTTCTTCGATAAAGCATACTGAAGGTATTTCAAGCTAGAAAATTAATTCAAAATGTTAAGTCTACAGTTTCAAGTTTGCGTGTAAAAACATGTGCCTGAGCGTTGGTCTGGCATGAACAAACAATTTCTTGGTGCACACAAGGGAATTTTTTATTGTTTTTAGAAATAAGTCAACTGGATTTTAGCTGTTGGCGTTTCCCACCGCCTTTAACCTTAAGTCTAACTGGCACAGGTACGTATCTAACCATAGGTTGTTACAAGGGAAAGGCATACATGGCAATGAGAGTGCACAGAAGCGGGCCTGTTGGCTTTGGGATCATTGCACGCACTGAACATGTTCTGACACCCTTCCACATAGCAAATAAGCAAAAATTACCAAATAGCTACAAGAGCTAAATAAACAGGAACACTTTCACATCCCTTAAGTGGATGAGAGGCAAATTCAGCAGTAAATAATTTAAGAATCTGAACATCTCAACAATTGTATGCGAGAAAACAGAGTAATGTAAACTTTATTTGAGGTGGGAAATTACTTTTGATGGTCTTTCCTGATTGCTGTGTTCTCGTTACTTCAGATGATAATGTTTAAATTAAAATAGAATGGTTTTCATGCCATCTTGTTTTCTAAAATAGGAATAATTACTTGCAGGTTTACATATATTTGGTAATACAAGATACAAAAAAACCCTTAAACAACCAACTCTCTAAATGACTCCCCAAAATAGTTAACTAAATTAGTTCAAAATCCATTTCTTCATGTATTACATTGCTAGCAGAGCACGAGATTTCAAAGGCATACAAGTTTTGTGAGACTTAATTCTCCTTCAGGATGCAGGGTTTTAACACTAAATTGTTGGAATTCATACTTTTTGTATGAATGGTAATAACACTGTTTTATGTAACAAAAAGCTTTAAGTATTATGTTTTTCAGTAATGCCACTTGTTATGGGAGACAGTGAAACAAGACCTCTGGCTTGAATGGATTAGTGTATTAAATAGAGTGAAATATAGACTCACAGGGTAAATCCTCTGGAAATGACTTCAGTCTCTTGAATAAGTCGCAGAGCTTTCCTCACAAGATTAGTAAAAGCTCGGCTATTCGCCACTGTTTCTTCCAGCTGGATACAGTATTTTCGCAGGGACATTTGCAGCTTGGCTGTCCTCCATGTGCCCCACACTCGAAAGACTGCATAGACAAGCAGGACCAGTCCCCACAGCAGCCACGATGATTCCTTCCACCACGAAGGAAGCATAAGCAGTGCACTTACAAAGGCAAGGAACAGCGACACATCCCTGCAAACACAAAAGGTATCATCAACCACAGATTCCTGAGGTCAAACAAGTGGGAAAATCAGGAAGCTTTTGGTTACATTTGAGATTATGACATCTTATTATGGGGTTTTTATGTAAGTCCTGAAGGCAGCTGTAAACACCCAAAACTACTCCTCCTGGCAGATTTAGATGTATACGTACATGGTATTACTTGGTCGGTAGACTCTAAGGAAACATTTCGCCGGCTTTTTTATCGCATGAGTAGAAGACAAATGTACCTTTGAAAGGTCAGTTTTTCTTACACATATGACTTTAAACAAAAAAAGAAAATAGAAAAAGAAAAAAAACCTGGCTACTCAGCATTATAGGCCAGGGTGGGTAGAAACTGGAATATCCGTACTTCCAGGTTCAAGAGTACAGTAGGGAAGGGCATGTTTCTTTTGGTAACAAAACCATCAAGTAATGCCAGCTTTATTTTTTCCAGAGTCTGACTCATTTAAATTGGACACCAACACACCACTAGTTTTTAACACATTTTTATAAAGATGGCTTGAATAATCATTCTAAATACTTTGGCAGCTTTTGAAAATCCTTAAGGAACGGAGTTACTAGTATCTCAGGTCAGTTACTTCTCAAGGACATTTAAAAAACTTCATAAAGCTGTTATTTTAATCTAGAAAAATTCAGCAAAAATAAGTAACTGCTAGAAAATACACCCTGTTTCATATACAGTATTATAGTTGCAGTTTTGTCAATTTATGACAGTCTTCACAGAGATGGATGGGATATGGGCTTCAAGGTGCAGAACAACTTTACTTTTCCAGAATTTTTTGAAAGAAAAATACTCACTTTCTTCACCCCTTAAAGCTGCGTATCTTATGTTTAATTTTGGAAGTATTCACAAGGAATATTTTCCCGTTTCTAAAATAAGACATGATCTCTGGCTTTCTATTTTCTGGACAGTTTTGTGGTCATATTTTAACAAGTTTTATAAGTGTTAACTCTTCAGGGCTACTGAGAGGTTTCAGTAAAGGTCCAGGGTTAAAATATTCCAGATATGTAATTAAAAGGACAGACACACAGTCTATTAACTTCCTTGGTACATTAAGAAAAAAAAAAAATCAAACCCACACAAAATGAATCACAACAATGAAAGACTGGAAGGGATTTAAGAGCTCACTTTGTCCATTTTCAGTTTCTGGTTAATCCAGATCTTCACAGACAGTTTGAAGAAGAAAATGGAGCCTCCACAACCCACCCAGGTAGCTATTCCAACTCATTAGTATCCTCAGAGTTCAAAATATTTCCCCCAAGTCCAGTCTGAATCATCGGTAAATTAATCGCATTCCTTTTCCTCATATCCTTCCCTTTTTCTGAACAGAATAAACAACGACTGATCACTACCTTCTTATTAACTACATTCTACACATCATAACACTGCTCCATCCCACCTCAATTTTCTCCATCTTGGCCAAACAATCCTAGCACTCTTTAATGTTTCCGAAAGATTACATTTTCTAAACTCCTCCTTCTTGTTCTGTTCTGGACTGTCTCTAAATTATCTATGCCTCTCCAAGTGTGGCATCCAAAACTGGATGCTGTAGTCTCACACAAGGCTTAGGGAAACAGACTGAAAAGTAAACCCCCGTGTCCCGCATATAACAAGGACACCAGGATGAGATCTGCCATTTTATTGAATAATTTGCCGACACATTCAATTTATGCTCTGCAACGATGTGCAGATCCCTCTCTGAAGTAGTCCTGCCTACCCAATTATTCACCACTTTGTATTTCTTAATTTGATTTTTCCTTATTGACTATTCTATTGATTTCAAGATATTTCTCCAAGCTACTTTTGAAGTCCATTCTGCCAAAACACTTACAAACTTGGTGTCATCTGTAAGCTGAGCAATATTGACAAATCTTGTAAGTGTACTTTATCATCTGAACATTTAAAGAAACAACAAATAGTGCTAGGACCAGGACAAACCACTGGAAAAATCTGGTTCAAAAGTTCTTGTTTGACAGACAGCATCAATAATAACATAGTACAACTTAAACAGTTTGGGGTTTTAACCTGCTGTGGCTTTATAATACTTTTATCTATTTTCCTAACATATGTATTAAAACATAGCACTGGGCTGTGCTATAATATATTTTTATCTACTGATTCCTATCCATTTCTGAGCAAGTTACTTGGTCAGAACACCCACCATCCTTGTTATTTTTCAAATACAGGTGGTAGCTGTTCAGACACTGCTGCAGCTAGCTCCTTCAGTATTCTAGAGTGAATTTCACCAGCCTCTGCTGACTTGAATGCATCTTACTTAAATATTCTTTAGTCTGTTCTTCTGGTATTCTACATCTGAAAATAAATTGCACACCCCATTCCAACATATTTTGTGAAGACCACAGCAAAGAAAACACTTTTCAATTCAGTCTTCACAATCATGTTTCATTTATCAAAATCACCACTGTATAGCTTTAGAAATTCATGAATTAATCAACCATGTTAGTTCTTCCTTAGAGCATTTATTAGGGTTTGGAAGTATCCATTCCCGTTCATGTAGCTATCTCAGATTAAAACTCACTCTTTCAATAAAAAGGTCCAAGGAAAAAACCATCCTATATAAAAATTTGGGGACTAGTGGACCAATGACTCAAAGATCTGAGAAAAAAAAATAGTTACTTTATTGCTGCATTTCATATAAAGAATACACAATATATTTTTTGCTGGTTCCTCAGTGAACAGTGGTAAATATTCTCTGTACAGTACCAAATATTAGGAGTTGCTAGGGAGCGTAGCGTTGGAAGCTGTCTGTTTTCCTGTTGCTTACACTGCCCTGCAGACAGGATACTGGGGTCAAGGAACTCAATCAGTTCCACATCCTCCTGCAGCAGAACTTCCTGTTGCAGGATGGTACGGAGCGTGTCAAATCGAAATCCAACATCCTTAACAGGCAGGAGAAAAAACAGGCATTAGTAAAGAATATGTAAATTCTTAAAATTGAGTTAGCAGAACAAGGGAAACACCCAGACACTCTACACTTTACTGACAACAATCTGTTCCCAAAGACTACAAGAATGTTTCAGATATATCACAAGTAGCTACTTCATTTTTATTAAATTTGCTTAACTTTAAAAACTCACATACTACCTAACAATTCAGACTTGCAGGATGCATTGCGCTGACTTTGTGATCTGACCTAGATAGTAACAATACCTGGAAACATGCCACAGATTATGCCAATATATTTGTGTAAGAATCAGAGATGTACTGTATCTATTAGAAGATCATTAATAAAACAGCAAACACTTTTTTTTTTTATGTCATGATGTAATTTGTGTCATTAACAAACAAATAAAAATTAGAAAGAGAGAGATATTACAAACTAGTCAATAAAAAGTCACCTTGGACACTTAAGAACAGTTGGGTCAATGCACTGGACTCAAGCCCTGAGCCATGGCAGTGAAGTCCTCTCCTGCAGGATTCTGTGCCTTTCCCAAGGGAACTCGATCCAAAAATGAAACAGCATGGGACTCTGAAGACCTCACACTTGCTAAACTCCAAGCAAACTTCAGGGAGTTACTTACTTATGGATTTGATGCCATGATCAGCATTTGCTATCTTTTTCCTTACAACTATCGCTCTTCAAGACATATGCACAGCTCTTGAAGACAAATACATCCATCAGAGAAGCCCCCTGAAATTTTAATCTGCATACTGCACCAAACTATAATTACAACACACTCCAAGTTAAGAATGTCATAACAAAACCCAACAAACACTGAACACGTGCATCTTTGCATCTAGCTAGATTACAGGAGGGAAAGGAGAATATTTCTGAAAACCCTCTAATAGAAGCTGTTAACACAAATATGACATTTCACAGTACAAAATCTGTTTAGTTCGGTCATTGACGGACTGAGATTCTTTATGAAACCATAAGATGGCTAGTCAAAACTTTAATTCCATACGTTGATGTTACTTCAGATAACTTGCATTTTACTTTCTAATGGAAAACATTTGTTTCAGGACTGTGTGCAAGAGGAAACTCTGTCCTCCTCTGACACATCCTGTGTCGTTCCAGTACTCTACTGTAGCATGCAGCTGGAGAAACATGTTTTCCATATTCTTTGGTTGTGTCTCCATCGCAAGAAAGTAAGGCTAAAAAAAAGCTGTTAAGATAATACTTTTGATTCATAGGGGAAGAGGGAGGAAGAAAAAAAGACAACCAAAGACCACTAATGAGAGGTTTCAGAGGAAATTTTGTCCTCTTGAGATAAGGGAGAAGAGAGAGCAATTGGACTCGGCAGAACTCTCTGAGAAATGGAAACTCCTAACTTCTCATGTTGCTCAACATTTTCTTTTCAAGCTACATTTGAAGACATCATCCCTACGCCATAGGAGAGAAAAATAAATTAATATTCTAACTTTTAGATTCTGGAACAGTCTAACTAATGTGACATTTGCAAGCCAGACTAGGAACCTGAAGCAGGTGGGTGCAAGTTAAAGCAGATCTCAGACAAGCTCCGGCTAGAGACTGACCTGGCTAGAAAGTGGTGCTGCAGAGAATCATACAATCATAGAATGCTTTGGTTGGAAGGGACCTTAAAGGTCATCTAGTTCCAACCCCCCTGCCATGGTGTAAAGGCAGCATAAAACTATTTTTAACTATCTGGGGTAGAACTATCACCCTTCAGAGGTCTACCCCACGCAGGCTGACCTGGACCCTAAAAGTTCCTGCAGGCTCCAGAGGTAGGAGAATACAACTTCTGGTGAGGCAGACGGACACCCGACCTGCTGCAATGAGAGCACAGAGGTGGTACAGAGAACTGTTCTGGCCTCCCCCTGCAGCCAGACCACTACACAGATGTCATCTGCTCTTAACGCCTAACACCGCCCTGAAGCATTAGAACGGAGGTGCCTTAGTTTGCTTTGCTTTTCCCAAATGCCGAAGCACTGTGGACAGCGGTGCAGAAACAAATAGGGCAGGATGGGTGCAGGGGGAGCACAGCTGCACGGCGGTGGTCCTGCACCCGAGCTAATGAGCTGAAACAGAGGGTGAAGCAACACTCAGATGAAGTTCTAAAGCCTTCTCTCTTGACCTGTGTCCCCAAGGCACTAGGCTGCAACATACGGACTTTCTCAGCTAGCATCTCCACGCTGCCTTCCACCAAAGGAGGCAACCTCCAGTGTAGCTAACTCCTTTCAGCTCTCAAGAATTTCTTTAATTTTTCACACCTTTTACTTTAATTTCTCTTCCATCTTTTGAACATCTTCAATCTACCTACTGATATTGTTCCTGTTCTTGTGTGACTAATTTGCCTGGCACAGTAACTCTGAAAAACCAGAATCAATATTATCTGAAGAATAAGTAAAACTCTTGGAGCCAAAACCAACAATGCAGATCAAAGATAGCACTCAGAGGATGAGGTACAGAGGTGAGGAAGACTTGTGGATTAGGAGAGGAAATGGAAAAAAAAAAAGTGATCACTTACCAGTCGGTGAAGTATGTCATCGTTTTTCTTATACTGTGGAAAAGGAAACCAACTTCTAAAGAACTCAACTAGTTTTGACAGGATGCCTTGCTGAAGGGAACAGAAATTACTCCAATTAAAAAAAAACCCAAAGCCAAACCCACATAAATAACAACAGACAATTCCTTTATTTCTGCATTTGCTTTTCTTGTTAACTCAGCCTCAAGTACCTATAAGGAAGTTTTGCTTACTGTGTCTGGCCTAACTTCAGAGTACGCTAAGGGGACATCTGCTTCCCGTCAGTTTGCCTGCACACAAGAGCCTGAAATAAAGCTTTCGGTAACCCCACCTAGTTGGAGCATAATGGATTGTTATGTTGTACTGTTAAAAATAACTACAGCTAGCATTAGTTTGATCTCAAGTTGGCAACTACTATTCTCTTCCCTTGAGGAGAGAAAAAAAAGCAGTGAAGTGAAATGGCTGACAGGGACTGAAGAAAAGGAAATGCCAAGGAGAGGTTGTTCTTCTCCGGGTCTGACCACCGCAGCCGGAGGACAAGGCTCCGGAGAAGTCGTGAACAGAGAGAGGGAAGAGTGACTGTAAGAGGAGGAACCGTCCCAGAAACTCCCTGTCCCAACCCGTGTGTGCTATCAGGTACTTTGTCTCCATCCTGCATCCCATGCAACCTAGATCGACACTTTGATCTGAGCTGTAAACACAACTTCGAACGTCACCAGTTAGAGGGACTCTCTCTTGGTCATCGCATCATTTTACTCATGTATCTTCCCAAAATACGATGCATGAAAGATTGCAATTAAATAGATGCATGATTTTGCTTCACTCTGCAGCCATTCAATGAAAAAAAAAAAAAAAGGAGTTTTTGACACACACTGTATATCTACTTTCCTCAGACTGAGTTGACAGGAAATATTTTTCAAAATATTTATTTACATATATTTCATGAATTCTGAGGCCCTACCTCTTAATCGTCAGACTGCTGACATGTAATACAATCAAATGAAATGTATGCGAAAAAAAATTAATTGCAGAGCACTTACATTTTGTGGCATACTGTTTCAAAATAAAAAAAAATAAATATCCGAACAGATGATAAGAGCTTAACGTATAAAAGGTTTATGCATTAAATCAGCTGCTTCCATTTCTCCCTCTTGGGTTTTTTTTTTTTTCTTTTTTTCTCCCCTCTTGGGTTTTTCTTTTTTTTTCCCCCCAACTATAAGGTGGGAAATAAAAGAGTAAAACCAAGCAACAGGAGCTTGGAGCTTTGCGGTTAGCCCTGTGATCAGCCTGACAGCCCTCTGAACGGCAGCGCGACACAAGTTTGGTGCAACAAGCCAGGGCAGAAGAGCTTTGAGTAACATCAGAAATTGTCACCTTAAAGCCCTTATGCTTCAACGATTTTTGAAATAACTTACTTTGGCGTCCGTTTAGGTAACCTAACTCAAGTTTTTCTTTACTTCTGTCTCATCTTTCTGTGTACAGGTAGAATTGCAGACCTACACCAAAAGGAAGTGGTTTTAGGTCCGCAGAGAGACAATCAATAGGGGTTTCATAATGAGAGTTCTTCCCGATACACAGGCGTCATCGTGGCTTATTAGGGGGAGTTACCCCAGCAATCCACACTTCTTAGACTATGGAATAAATCCAAGTGATTGTATTTTGATGTTGCTCAAGGGCACTGACAGAAGTTGGAAGAGGAGAGTGTCACAAGCTGCAGCACTAGGTTATCCTCAAGTGGCGCAAAATAACCAAAATTTTCCAATTAAAATTTGTAGAAAACTAAGATTAAATAAACAAAGGTTCTTGTTCTGCATTTGAGTTGCAGACAGATGTTTCATTCAGAAGTACTTTCCCCTGTACTCTGAAAGCAGAGTACAGAAAGAATTGTTCATTTACTATTTAAAGTATTAAATTATTTGGAGCCTATCATCTTCAGCTGCTTAGCCTTCATAAGCCTTTGGGTTTTTATCATGAACATTTAAACCTACACCGAGGATAATTTTAAACTGCTACCAGCTGACTAAACTAGACTGTGGAATTACTGAAAAAAAACCCATACTAGTGTGCTATGTAAGTAATCTTTTGGTTTATTTTCCATGTTTTAGTTTAAAAATAAAAATCTGAGCTTGCATAAACACTCAACAGGCATGTCAGTGCTTGAAAACACAAAACAAGACAACCCACGGTCTTGGGCTGTGACCCAGTGGAGTACAGTAACACACTAAATTATTCAGATCCTTGGAATAGTGTCTCATAGTCTGCATTCCCACTGGGAGTGTTACTGACATGTAAAACAACTTTCATCAACACACAAGTCAGGTCATGTTGCCAATGCTTCTGGAGTATTCTTACAACTTTAAAACACCACTCAGTCAAACTCTCTGTAAACTGAATAACAAATATGTGTAACTCCTAACATCTTAAAAAAAAAAAAAGCATAGGACACGCACATTTGAGGTACATTCATTTGAATCTAAAACAAAATTCTTAGGACTATTTCTCTTTTGTACAGGATGAACCTGAAATGGCAAACCAGCAGGCATCTAAAATATCATCGTTCACATTGGCACCTTTCAATTCTGTGCACTTCAGAAAGAAGATAATGTTACTTATTGAATACCTTCCAGCTACCCAGAGCCAACATGAAGTGGGTGGGAGCCCTAGACAAAGGCAAAGGACTGGTCCCTCTGCCTTTCCATATCGGGTCACCCACACAGGTACTGAGGGCTAGCCCCAACACAATCCTCAGTACCTGCCTCCAGCACCAGCCCTGTTCTAGCCATGAAATATTATCACATCTAAGATGGGATAAGGTGTGACAGTATAATCAATTTAAACATTCAGATATGCACAGCAGTCTAGGAAAATGACTGAGAAAGGAAAAATCTAAATGGGAAGAAATACATTCCTTAAAGATCAAGCAGAATTACCCAAACAGGATTTAATTCCAGAAAACAGGTCTAGGAGCAGCTCTTGCAAACAGTGCTTTTGAGTACCAAGTGATCATGAGACCAGAACTTTAGCTGTAACTTTCTCCAGAGATTGGCACAGCCAGGAACACCGCACCTATAATTACCACGCTAAATCACATCTCTGTACTCCCCCAGATGGGAGCTTGGCATTTCATCAGCCCTCAGAACACAACCTTGAGGCACCTTTACAGTTTTTCAGCTCAATGGTCATGAAGACCATGTTCTGATTTAAAAAACCCACCAAAACCACACACACAGAGAACTATTTAAGATGTGCTTCAAATTCAACTGATGCCTCTGCCTTTCGTTAAGCCTGAACCATACGCTCTGCTTGGCAGGACAGCAAGACACTGCAGCAATGTTTTTATCAGTCACTAGGAACCTCTTTTTTTTTGCCCGATTTGTTTTTTCAGTCCCTGAACATCCCAAACTAGATCCTTACCTTGCCAAAATCTTGCTACGTGTCAGATTGTATCTGCGCAGAGTTCCTACTTGACTGAATACAAGAGGAGAACGCAATCTCAACTCAAAGACAAAGCAATACTGCAGCTTTTTTACTTTTATTTTACTAAAGTGTTAAGGCATTTGTAAACTTGCTTTTCAGAACAGAAGGAAAACGATACACAGATGCTAGGCATAAGTCAGCATGGAACATCACCTACTCCCTGTAATTATATTTTGCATTACGCTAAGCCTCAACTAACATCATTTTATAGTAGGTCTGTGGGTAGGTACATATTCAGAACTCAGAAACCATTTGTTTCCCAGACATCTTATAATTTCAGTAGTCTAGGCCAGCGAAGGCCGAGAGAAGGGAAGTGATAATTCTAGTCTTATGTAAAATTGAGGAAATGATTGGATGGGAATGTAAAAGATTTGCCTGTATGTCATACAAAAGTTGCAACAAAGCCTCAGATCCTCCTAAATCCAGTCTACTTCTTTAAATGTGTGGCCAGCTGCTTCTCCCTCATTCTCTTTCATCTTGAGACACCCTACCAAAACGGGACACAGAAATCAAATGACGAAATCAGACCTTCTGATACCAGATTACAAAAAAAAAAAAGTGTTAATGTTCCTGAATTTCTATCGGAACAGCAGCAGGAAGAACCTATGACATTTTATCACTAGAAATTACACACAGGTTTCTTCCTTATTTCTACTATGTATCCTTGTCTAGACAGAGATGAGACAATGTGAATGTCATCCTACTATTTGTAAGAAATGGACAGCCCATTTTCATGCACCCACTCCCTTCAAGTTGCAAGGCAAACCATGACGAATTACTTCTACATCTGACACAATACTGGAGGACTTGCTCCCAACTCAATAAAATTCAGTGTAAAATGCTTGAGGGGAAGGGAGGGGAAAAATGGACTACTTGAGGCTTTTAAAAGCAGTATATCTTAATACTTTTGAGGTTCTTAACCCCACAGCACTTTTGTATTAAATTTGGTGGAAATTATATATGGACACAGCATCATACTGCTTTACTGACTTCCACAAAAGCAATTATACAAAATAAAGTAATGCTGCTAACAAGCGATAGTCTGTGCAATGCATTACTTCATAGTAATGAACAGGTAATCAGCCAATTAAATATGTCACCCCAATTTTTAATTAACAGTCGTTTAATTAAAGTCTTCCTGCACTAAGCCAGAATAGGTATCTTCAATGTAAATGTACCACAAAACTGCCAATAGCTTTAAATGGAAAATATATTTTCAGATGGTTTCTTGAGGGTGATGGTGAGTGCCAGCTGACAATTCTGAAAAGTAAGGGTAAAGGACCTAAAATTGCCTTGAATACTTTAAAGGTAGTTTAAATTAAAGTATAAAAAATTGTGAGTTAAACCCTCAATTAAATTCAGCCTTGCCTTGTGACCACTGAGGGAAGCAATAATTATTACAAATGCAATAGCTATCCACATACAGTAAACAGAAATAAATTTATTCGTTAAATTTAAAATAATCTTACACTAGAGAAACCAGCCAAGGAAGCATGGAGACACTGCCACAATCACTTCTGCTCCCCGCCTCGGTTAATCTGTTCCTCGGGCTCACAAATCCTCAGCACACATGACTGGAGTTCTGTATGAAGCTCCTTCGTAATTCTTTTCTACATGATTGCTGAACTCTTTGAAAAGGTGCAAACTCTACAAGAACATGGCTGAACAGTACTAAACTTAGGGATTCTTATTATAGCACGATTATTTTTTAGAGGCTCTGTCTAATCCGTGTGCTGGGGATGCTGTGGTACTTACTGGTCTGCTCAAGGGATGTGCAGCCTGCCTCTTCTCTACATGGTCATCTTTGATCAGAAAGTGGGGCATGAGAGAAGGGAGACACGGCAACCTTCCACAGGACTACAAGTCTCAGAAACTGGCGATCACAGCCACGAAGCAAAGCGCACAGTGCACCTGGTAAATACAAACTATGACCAATCTAGCCATCAAGATAGACTCCAACAGGACTGAAGACAAAAGCAAAATGTTTCATGTTTTATTATTCTGTCTTTTCGAACAGACTAATGAGTGTGTGAGGAAGCTTATATAGTCCATACGGAGAGTGGCTGAAATGAATATCATGATATGAAAATATGACCAATCAACACTTCTCTGAAAAACAAGCTTCACACTGCAACTTCTAAATTCCCACTTCAAAAACTCTGCATGTCAGTCCTTCCAAGTACACCATACTACTGCAAGCATTTCAAAACCCACATATTCTTCCCTCAGATCAGAAAAAACCTGACTGATGTTATCCACATCAATTCATACACTTAGGAATTCTACCCCACCTAAGATCCTAAACAGAGTGGAATAGATTAAAAATCCCACAAGAAAAGAACACTTCTAACCCAAAACAAAGGAGGAACAAAAGGACATGTACAAAACTGAAAAAATCTTGTTGAAGTAAAGCCTAACTAACTGACTAACACTTGACTAATTCCTTGAAACATCTCAGAACTGAGTAGGAGGTATATGTCAAGATGGCATTGCTTGAGAATAGATCCTAAGAAAAGCATCATCTCTTCTCATTTGCCACATGATCCTCCATCCACCAAAGCCTGCAGGGAGACCTTCTGGAGATCTCACGGCCACTCATATCATATTGTCTGTGTTTGGGAAAAATAGGATGTTCTCCTCAGTTCTCTGCCAGCTAACAGGGAGTGTGGAACACTGTGAAGCAGCAGAGGTTACAAACAAGAGGAAAAGGGTTGTGAACCTCTGATTTGAAGATGGCTGAAGAGGTATAAAGTAGGAATGAACAACAGGAAAACAGAGCTCCAGCAGAAGGTTAAAAGCCATGGCAGACAAGAATCAGATGACCTAAGGTGCACAAAGATGGAAACTACCATAGATAGTGGAGAAAGAGGAGAAAGAAACGGTAATTCTTCAGAGGCAACGCATTGACCTGTGAATGCTTTGTTTGAGTTCTTACGTGTGAGGTGCTGCCCACCTCAGCCCGCAGTGGCCAAGACACAGAAGTCTGCATGGAGACCTCTTTTTCCTCCTGGCTTAACATATAGTTGGAGCGTGGCCACTGAAAATTGAACTCTCCACTGTGGAAGTGGAAGAGGTAGGCAGAAAATAACTGCTCTTTGCATGCTCCACCTTGGTGCTAAGGAGAAGACAGACTGACTACTGAATTTTCAATATACTTGTTGCGAAGAGATTCCTACATTAACTGCCTCAAAAGAGGATTTTCCTCACCCACACTACAGCTCCTCATCTGAGTCACATTGCCTGTACACTACCAACAACAGTAAAATACCATTGATTTTTAATACGGAAAACAAAAAATGTGTAGGCTGTAGTAGGTGTTAAATGGCCAAATTCCCAAGCATAATTTTAATACAAAAATGTTTAAAAAAAAATCCACAAGCCTTTACTTAAAATGACAGAGAAATGTCTGAGTTAATCAGTTGATAATCCTTGTCAGCTGTTACCGTTAGTAAATTGCCATAATCTAAGCACAGTTCTACTATCTCATTCAGATCAGTTATTGTATTTATACTTCCCAGAAATCCTCTTTTTTAATATGTTTTGTCACAGAGTAAGTGATATTTAGCAACTGAATGCCTGAGAAGGGCTGGGATCTATAAATATTTAGCTCCAGAAAATTACAGGTTTTATTCCCAGAATGTCATGCTAAGCTAACATAATAATATCCAGTAAATAAAATAATCTACAACACTCAAAAAATTCATTATCAAAGTTTCTTGCTTCCCTAGCTTACGTAAGTGCAAAGAAACACTCCAAACAACACTGACAAACCATGCAGATAAAATATGACAACTGGCTGGGTTTTTTTTTTGTGGGTGTTTTTTTTTTTTTTTTTTTTTTAAAATAAAGTAAGAGATTTATCTTTGTTCCCTCTGATTTTGCCTATTGGTGAAGTAACGTGGTTCTCTATCGAGAAGATAAATACTCAGGAACGGGAGAGCGCTCACTTTCTGGGCAGCATGCACAGTCCGCTCTTTTTGGCTTTCCGCTGCTGCACATTGCTCTGCCTTCTGCGACACAGATGAACATACTTCAAAATCTGTGTGTCCCAAATCCTGCAGATACTGGTAGAGTGGAGAATTCTGAAAGAGAGTTAAAAAAAGAAAAATGAGAAAAACCCAATGTTAAAAATCATTCCTTGTTTCCCTCGGAACACAACTGTGAATACAGGAACCACACAATCAGCAACGAATGGATTGTGAGCAGCCCTGCAGAGGACTTCGGGATAGCAGTGGATGAAAAATTGGATATGACCCGGCAACGTGCGCTGGCAGCCCAGAAAGCCAACCGTGCCCTGGGCTGCATCCCAAGCAGGGTGACCAGCAGGTCGAGGGGGGGGATTTTGCCCCTCTGCTCCGCTCTGGTGAGACCCCCCCCTGCAGTACTGCCTTCAGCTCCGGGTAAACTAAAAACCTGACAGTAAATAATGCACAGTTGTGGAGGTCTGTAGAAACAACTACCAACTGAACCTCTACCACAAATCCTTACATTAACTACCATTAACTTGCTGGTGCAAGTTGTGGAGGCAGCCCGCCTACTGTGACGATGTACCGACATGGCCAAATCTCAAAGGACTGCTTGCCATACAACAGAACTTGGCAGCAATCATTCATACTAGCTGAACAAATTAACTTGTTACACCCAGGGATTTTTTTTAACCCCATCACCAAAGTGCTATTTTGATCACTGCTATCAATTTAAAGGATGCAATTTCATACTTTTGCGTGCTTTGCTCGAGTTACTCACAACAGATTCAGTGTCCAGTCATTACCTGAAACTCAAACATTGGTACCTAACTCACAGGTACAGCCAATTCCCCTCACCCACAATGACATCGATAGGATAGGTTAATGACTCATTTCCTTGGGGGAATTTTTCCAGTGTGACAACTCAATCTGATCTTTTTTCCAAGTATCCTTCCTCCATAGTTGAGTACTTTTTCAAATGCCTCCAACTAATTAAACAAGGTGCTGTTCTGGACTGGCTGGAAAGTAGGTGTGTTCCTCCCTAAACAGACCATGCCACTTTACCAGAATCATTTAATTAAAATGGAAAAGAAAGCATAATATTTAAGACACTTAAATTCTCTTAATAACTTCAGGACAAAACTCGGAATAGGAATGGATATGCATAACTTTGTTCTTCTTAAAATGGTTTTCATACAGCACCAGGCTGTTCACTGCTGACACACCTGGAACAACCTGAACATCCCCACACGAGAGGCTTTAGGGTAACATGGAGGTTTCAGTCAGAACCAGCCCAAATTTTCCCCATTTAGATGAAGACGCATAGACAGAACAGTGGGTGAACAGAGAATGGTTTATTCAAAATCATAGTTTTGATGCTTGCTCCAGGCAGGACTCCAAGAAAATTGTATCTAAGCTCTTGGCAGACCTGTCCATCATCCTGACCATACTTTTCCTTCATCTTGACCATCCTCTTGGTCATACTTGTCCCAAGCAAGGCCAGCCATCATTTGACACATGACTATTCTTGTACTTTATTGGTACTCACCTATAGACAGACAGACAGCAAAATAACCCAAATATACAAAGGAGTTTTTCCACTAGTATCTCAGGGTGCACCTCGCTTTTGGGTCCACGAGGAGATAATTTTCTAAAAGCTGACCAAGAAAACCAGCCTAATGCTGTTTAGATTAGTTTCATTTCCTCACAAAAATGGATGAAGAAAGGCAGAGATAGAGAGACAGACAGAGACTCTGTCCACTGACGACAGAGAGAATTAGCTAAAATCCTGAACGCTACATTTATAAGTGACGTATTGCATAGATGTAAGAATGCCCAATTCTCCCCTCTTACTGGGTATTTGGCAATATCAAAACCTTCCATCTAACTGTAATGAGCAAATTTGCTCCCCTACAGAAATAGTAAAAAATACACCATCTCTCCAAACGTTAATGAAACTTTAGCCCCCAGCTAGGATGAATAACTTTATTTGTTCTTGTAATCACGGTGGAATACAGGCACCTTACTAGGTTTTACATAAATTCCTTCTGATTACCTTTTTGAAGGCTTTTATGGGGTCTCAATACAGGTAGATTTGCAATTTTTTATCACTGCTCGGAACTGGAAATCAGTTTTTTGATTATTAAGTTAGCAAATGATAACTGATTAAAATTTAACTTGAATGTTTATCACATATTCCTTCAAGTTGGTAAGGGTTCTCCTCTTTCAGTTTCTCAGAAAGTACTCGGCCTACAAGAATCTTCCTCTAACACATTTCTCTTACTCCACATGCTTTCTCTTTCTTTTCTAAAAGATTATTAGCAGAATTTAAATGCACATTGGAAAACCTCATTTTTTATTACTAACTTAAATGACCAAGAACTAAGCTATGACTCAAATCCCTTATGCTGTAAGCAAAACCACCATTGTTCCCCTTTCTGAATCCGTGAGTAGCACGTGAGATGTGCGTGAAGAAAGCACTGAATAAGAAATGGGTTGAGGCCCTTGTGAAATTAGATCATTAAGAACCTTAATGAACCAATCATAAAATTCTTCCCTTAAGAGTGAGGTCTCTTGCGTAGCACATTCAGTTTTACATTTTGCCCAGAAAATTTGAAGATTACGCTTCTCTTCTATTAGAAACATCACTGATGGCATACATACTTTAGCCTATGCTACGATAAAAACCCACACTATTTATTTATTATATTTCATATCCTAGATACTGCCCAACTTTAAACGATACTAACAAGCCTGTCACTTGGAAAGCTGTGCGGTCTGTATAACTCACTGAGGATGCCTCCAACAGTCTATAGCAAATTTCTCCCACGACGTATGTAAGTAACAGCTAGAAAATCCAGTAAAGGAATTTTAAAAAGTTGAAGGGTAGATTTTATTTATGTGAACATTCACACAGAATTTCCAATATTACCAAAGAATCAGAAAATTATTAATTACGCAACTACAGAATTGCAATATGATACCATTAAAATATCCTATTCTATGTACTGCTTGTTTCAATGCAAGAGACAGAAGTATTACAGTTAATGCTTACAAAGCATTTTTCATCTTCACGAATCTTTAAAAGCAATAATTAAATCTCATAATGTGTCTGATGTCCCACAAATTATAGCTCTGAATTTCTCGCTTACGTCCTCAGCCAAACCTCTCACTCCTGAATTCCTTCTTTCCCATAAAAAAGATCACAGATGTGCACATACTCTCGCATATGCAGTTCTAACTGAGAAAAGTTCCTTGGTTTCAATTCACACTGTCATTCATCAGCATTGTCAGGCGCAGCTGTTTTCACCTGCAAATGTCACGATAATATTAAAAAAGAAAAAAATCTACTTCTTGGTTGGGGAAAAAGGGATCTGCCTTTTTTCCTCCTATTTTTCTTTGCCTCAAATTCATGCATTCCTTTTTTTGACAGTCCAACATTTAAAAAAAAAAAAAAAAGCACCTGATTTTACATTTCTGCATATATTATAGATACTACACTTTCAGTTTAAGAAATTCAGGACATATAAGAAAGTTTATTCTTGCAAGCAGTAATAGGTTATAATTTCAAAAAAAATAATTTGGACTTGAGAGAAAGCTTTTATGTTAGAATGTGAGCTAAAGGGACAGCAAGGTTGCTTCAATGGACAGCATGAAAAGGAAATTTAAAATATAAAATCTCATCTTCCTATTAATACAGCATCATATTATTCTAGAGGAATCTATTTCCATATATTTTTGAATCTTTACTTTCAGCCACTCTCAACTTAGATAATAACTAGAATAGTTAGTATTACTCATGTTTGACAGCCAGGTTCATTTATTTACTTCTAGCTGTCTCCGGTAGAATGACATGGTAATGAATCATTTACAAAGTACAGAAGAAAAAACATTTTAATAATTCAGCTTATTGTTATGTTACCATCATACTACCCGTTACTGATGGGAAGTATTATCTAAAGTAAGTAAGGATACCAAGACAGGGTTTTTCAGCCATATACTGTATTTATTTCTGAAGTTTCTTTTAAGTTTCTTCTTCTAAGTCACTTTCTGAAACCACCGAGATACAAGAGATAGGCATTACCTTTACAGCCAGGGCATTCTTTTATTATGTTACCTGTCCAAAATGTGTGCTGGAAATGGAAAACAGTTCCAGGACAAACAGATGACCAAGTTCTTTGGTGTAATTTGTACATATTATACATGGAAAATCTTGTTAACAAATGAAGTAAGGTAGTCAGAAACAGTCGATGTACTGAGTAGGAATATACTTTTTGAAACTTAAGAATTAGGGTTTTCTGGGGACTCAGCACAGACTGACAACAAAAAACCCACTTATCTTTCTATGACTTTTCTAATTCACTGCATAGTCATACTGCAAAGCCATTCAATTGTAAATGGACATTTATAGTATAAAATGGTTTATATAAGCTCCTGTTTCCAGAATTAAGAAAGAAAAATCCTTTCTTCCTCATTCATAACTCCCTGAGCATATTTATTTTAGATCCATACTACTAAAAACTGTTTCTCTCACATACATACGTTTAATTATAACTCTTCTTTTTTCATTGTTGAAAGTGGTTGAGTCTTGTTCTAAACCCAAGATACATTATGCAGCATTAAAGAACAGTCCACTAAATTAGTTTTGTTCTTTAACCCTTTCCCAATGCTTATTTTAATGTCACTTGCCATATAGCACTGACTTGGCTAGAAAAAAACATCACCTGAAGGCTAAACATTGTGTTTGCAACTCTAAGCCTACAGTAAAAATAAATGCAAAAAAATCAAAATCAAGCCAAACATTAAAAGATAATCAAACATATGTAACATTGCTACTGCTATGTGACAGAAAGGTTGTTATAGCAGAGAATTCCCTAGCTTTGGAAAAGAGCTTACTTTTGACAGATACCGACTCAAATACTTACATCTACTGCAGCCTTGCAAGCACAGTTATTGCACTTTAATATGTGAGGCATTTTGTGTGTATTCTGAAAAAAACCTTTGCAATCATGGATCAGATTAAGACACCGTTAGCTTTCATAGTCTTGTTACAATAGCAGCTGAAAATCAAAGCCACACCCAAATTATTTTTGCTGATGCATCATGAAGTAAATGACTCAGGATTTCTCCAT